AATTAGAACATTCGAATCTATTTGAGGAGTCCTTCTAAATTTTGCCAAAATCTTTAGCATTTCTTCTGGAAGAAAAAAAAAATCCCAGTGTCCATTCTGGATAGATTCAATATCAACTCCAGCCACAGACAGCTCAAAAATGTTATGCCTAAAAATGATCCAGCATTCTGTGCAACTTCAAAGGTTCTTTTTGACTCATTAGAAGGAAAATTCAAACCCAAATGCTGATCTTGTTTCTTTAAATTTGAGCAACCAAGGAAGGCCTGCAAATGCAGTTTCTCACAAGTGGTAAACCAGTTGGATTTCACATGTTTGCAATCAAAATTGATGCTTAATTACTCCATTGCCAGAAACTAAGCTGTTGACATCTAGATATAGGTACATGTAAACCCACTGGGCTCAGTATTCAAAATTCAGAATATTTCACTGCAATATCTAAAAGCTTTAGTATTTAACCCTGGTCTGAATTTTAGTACTAATTCTATAGATTTATTTTATTTGAAAGGGTTCATATGTAATTTGTATTCAGATCTTCAGTTCCTAACAATGATTGTTCTGAAAACAATTCTCTCTGTACCTGGGAGTGAAAACCACTGAAGTCAATCAAATTTACATTTGAATAAACCTGCAGACATTGCTCTGTAAATACCCCAGGTGCAGTGGTGAAATACAATTTTTTTTACTACCGGTTCTGTGGGCGTGGCTTGGTGGGCGTGGCTTGGTGGGCATGGCAGGGGAAGGATACTGCAAAATCCCCACCCCACTCCTGGGGGAAGGATATTGCAAAATCTCCATTCCCACCCTACTCTGGGGCCAGCCAGAGGTGGTATTTGCCAGTTCTTCAAACTACTCAAAATTTCCACTACCGGTTCTCCAAACTGCTCAAAATTTCCGCTCCGGTTCTCCAGAACCCGTCAGAACCTGCTGGATTTCACCCCTGCCCAGGTGGCTGTACTCAGCCACTCGATACTCCACTCAAGCATTCATTAGAAGAAAAGGTGAATATGCTTTGAAAATGTGTACAGTGTATTATAAAGTCATGCATCTTCCTGATGCTGACTCTATTAAAAGTGACATCCAGTAGGACAGGAGATACACTCAGCTCAGAGGTGAAATCTACTTACCTTCCCTACCGATTCGAAAGTGCACGCTCCCCGCATGCGTTTGGACCCTCTGTGCATGTGCAAAGCCTTTTGTGCATGCGCAGAGGGTCAAAAACAGGTTACTTCCTGGTTAAAACCAGACATCTGGGTGGGTGGGCAGAGCCTCACGCTGCCGCCGCTACCAATTCTGTGAACTACGCGCCGCCGCTACTGGTTCGACTGAACCGGTCCGAACTGGTAGCCTTTCACCCCTGACTCAGCTCCACTTCAGTAGAAATCTAGCAAAATCCTGCCCAGCTTCTGAGACCAGTTTGAATTGTAAAGCTTCTGCCATTTCCTTTTAATTGATTAAAGCAACATGTGCTTATGTATGAAAGCAGCCTTTGTTTTATCAGAAGATTCTTCACCCAAAAATGTGGCTGATGTTTACTATGATAAATTAGATTTTTGGAACTGGATATTCACATTCCTCAGCCATGGAATGAACTGTACACTGCAAGGATACCTATGACTAGAAACATGGAACAGTTTGCATTCTAATCCTGATAGGATCCATTAGTGTTTTGCAAGACACTTTGTTCCGTAGTTTCATTTACTTAGCCCCAAAGAATCCAGATGACATTCCTGCCAAAATGATGAGTTCCAAGTTTCACTCTATTAATTTCTTACAGGCCCGATTAACAGGCAATTCTTTCAAACCTTCAATATAGTTGCAGTTCCAGCTTGTTTGCTGTTCACAGATCTGAGAATCTGTTGAAACACGTATCAGAAGAAGGAGGGGATCAGGGACTGGTGGTGCTGGGATCACAGGTGGATCACAATTGTTTGTTTAATGGCTATGCGGTGTCCCTGAACAGTATTATTTTCCCATTGTGTAAAAGATTAATTGGGCCAATATTGTTTCAGGCATTAGCTTCAATTACTGCCCTTAACTTGGCAAAAATATATTGGACCGAAAAGAGTTTTGATCCCATGAAAAAGTTTATGGGAAGACTCTAGTAGAATTAAAAATGATAAATTCTGTTGGGGGACCAAAAGATGAAAATCTGGAGCCTTATTATCATCTTGGATCAATTAAACTTTGTTGCAGCAATTCTTAAAATACACTTTGCTTCTCAGAAACTACTGCAATTGTCATAAATACATGCTATTTGCCAAACCTCTGAATTTTGATCACATGATCTAAGGCAGGGTGTCAAACTCACATCATCACAGCGGTGTGACGTGACGTATTAGGACTTTTTCCCCCTTCACTAAATCGGACGTGGGCGTGGCCCCCTGATCTAAGGACTTCTCATCACTTTGTTCTATACCAGGGGTGTCAAACGCGGCCCGGATTCGTTACACACTGGCCACGCCCACCCCCATTTTAGCAAAGGGGGAAAAAGTTGCGATATGTCACATGATGACAACGAGACACTGGGAGTTTGACACCCCTGTTTTATACCATTGCAACTTTGAATAGTCGCTAAAAAAATGATTGTAAGTCAAGGATAACCCGTATATTCCCTGCATATGAAAGTTACCAAGAAATTAAAGATTGTGGATGCTTTGTGCATGCAGAATAGCTAAAAGAAATATAATATTGAAAGGATAAATCTACATCCTGCTTACAACAATTAATTTTAGCATGTGTCCATTGTCAGTCTCTAAAATTGTTTTTTTTTTTTTTGACAGAGGGAAAAGAAAGAGAGGTATCTATTGAGCAATTTGTGTTTTATTCTCTGTGTAAAATATTTGTAATTGGTATATGGTTTATTTAAATCAATCTTTATTGCTATTGCTTTGTATTTTAATAAAGAAATACATTCTAAAATTAGGAATTTGCAATTTTGTTTCCTTTTTCTTGCAAGTATAATAGCAAAATATATATCCATTTTCTAAAATTAAGTAATAATGTTGTATTCCTTAAGCACATTTGTATGATGAACATCACTTATAAATAGCTTAAATATCCTTTAAAATTCCATTTGCTTGGTGTGCAAGTACATAATTTAGATAATAAATGTAACCAAGATATAATAAACTGTATATATTTTACAAAAGGCAGTTTATTATGAGGATGGCTATGGCAGTCTTTATATTACAATATAAAAATTGTATGAAGTTGTGAAAGTAGTTATTAATGTATTCAATTAATTAGTTTAATTATATATGTGTGTGAGAGAGTAAGAGACATGTAATCTTTTTGAAACATGAATTTGAAATGGTAGTTTAATATCCCCAATTCATCTTTTTAAAAGATGGTATTACAAGAAAACAAAACTCTAATTCTCTAGCCCTAAGTTAGATATAACCATTGTTTCAGACTCAAAGTCATTTTCACTACTTTTTGAAGTGAGGTGGAGCAGAGGTGGGTTTCAGCAGGTTCTGACCAGTTCTGGAGAACCGGTAGTGGAAATTTCGAGTAGTTTGGAGAACCAGTAGTAAAAATTCTGACTGGCCCCGCCCCCATCTATTCTCTGCCTCCCAAGTCCCAGCTGATCGGGAAGAAATGGGGATTTTGCAGTAACCTTCCCCTGGAGTGCAGAGGGAATGGAGATTTTACAGTATCCTTCCTCTGGAGTGGGGTGGTAATGGAGATTTTACAGTATCCTTCCCCTGCCATGCCCATCAAGCCACGCCCATCAAGCTATGCCACACCCACCAAGCCACACCCACAGAACCGGTAGTAAAAGAATTTGAAACCCACCACTGAGTTGGAGAGGAGGAAAATCCAGATCAGATTCTTAACAAGCAAGATTCAATATTCTGAAGTTTAATTATTTCATAGTTGGCTTTATGGTTTTGGTAACACCTGTATCCATTACCGCTGACAACACTGATAGTACTGGCTGGGGGATTCTGGGAGTTGAAATCTATACTTCTTAAAGTTGCTGAGGTTGGGAAACACCGCTGTAAAGGATCACTGGGTGGGGGAGCAGCTTTATGGCTAATTTTACACAACATTGAATCACAAGCTAGTCACTTGTTTTAGCCGAATGTATTGGGGATATGTAACCCAGGAGATGAATGCATTGCATTATGTTAATCCAGAGCTAGGTGGTCTGTAATTGAGATGGCATGGTTAGAGTTCAGGGTTTTTTTGGGTGTGCGTGGTTGACAATGTCAGTTTTCTGGCACAGTTTTCATGCCATTAAAAATAACTGCAATTGACAAGATTCTTCTAGATAAGGAATTCCACCTTTTGGTGCCCCCAAGCCAGAAAATGAGTTCAACAGCCAAATCTTTACAGATGCGATCCATTAAATTTACCCCTGGGAGTGTGGAGGGAGAAAATAGCATTTTCTTCCCTTGAGGAACCCAACCATTTATATCAAACATCTACGATCAAATGGGGAGCCTACTTAGTTAACTAAAGAAGAAGAAGGAAAAGCAAATTAAAAAGATGATAAGTGCCAGTTATAATGACTGTTATAATTCTGCAAAGCTTAAATGTACGCTTACAAAGAAAGTAAATGATCTGGTAAGCACATTAACGTGCAGGTAAGAACGCAAAGTTATCTGGCTAGCCTTTATATTATCGAGTAACTCAATAGGGCTCTCTGGTAGGGCTTCAGCGCCCTGCGAGTCCCATATACGTTTACTGAAAAGTAAAAAGCCGCACAGGGAGCGCCCGCCGTTTTCCATTTCCCAGTTAAGTGCGCGCAGGATGGCGACTGCCGCGTACGACGACGCCCTCTTGCGGGCGCGTCGGTAGCAGCACCTTGAGTGAAACCGGACCTAAAGCGGCTTGATTGGCGCCCAGGTGAGCCCAATGGGACTTGGGCGGTCGATAAAAGCTTCCCCAAAGCGGCGTTGCGAGATTGCCGTTTGTGGGTTATTTATTCTTTTTAACATCACCCCCTGCTCGGCTTGTCCTAGACAGCGCTGGTTCGCTGTGCTTTTTCTCCCCAGTCATGGAGCTTTTTACGCTCCACGGTGTTCTCCTGTTTTTGGCTGCATTGAGTGGCTGGGGTCGCTTGTCGCCCAGCGGAGGTGAGAAGGGTCTTTTTGTGTGTTCCCCCTGTTTTGGGGGAGAAGGTATCCTGGGATGGAGTGTCTTATTTTGGAGTCTGCTTATCATAGCTTACTTAAACAACGATACAAAGAAACAATGGGCTCCCCCCCCCACCCCCAGGAGTTTATTGATGAAACAGTAAAAAGATAGGCTTGCTTGTTTTAATTTTATTTAAATGGGGGAAACTGATAGTTTTGCCTTTTTTTCCCCCTTCCAGCCCAAACGTGGGAACCTACTTACAAGTAAAGTTATGGTCTTTACTTTTTATCTATCCAGGAAGGGTAAAGAAGCAGAATCTACCAGTCAGGGACAGTGGGTAAATATGGCCTGGATAGAAGGTCAGCCATCATTGTAATTAAAGTAGAGGAAAGGGTTAAAATCCTGGCAGGTTTTTTTTTTCCCCAGGCTGACTTCATTCCAGCCATTCACAGGTATCAAGGAGTTTAGAGTAATAGTGCAGAAAATCTCTCAGGGGGCTCTTAAATAAAACCATTGGGAGTGGCAAGGTTTGAGAGTAAGCCTCATTTGTGTAAGATTCAGTTGATATTCATATACCTTTACTGTAATGACCATATTAGGTTCAGGGTTATTGATTTAGGAACCATTCAACTTACATGGACATGTCTATGTAGCTTCCTTGCAAACTGCATATTTGCTATTGGCTTTTTAGTGTTTTGGGGTCTTTTCTGTATAGCTTTTAGTTCATGAATATCATTCAGTGGTAAAGTAGGTTGGGTGGGTGAGTTCTTGTCTGTTTTTAGGGCTCCCTTCTGGAAATTTCGGAGGACTCTTGTTGGGAGAGCCCTGCTTGTTGGGCTCATTGGTAAGGGACTTTGGAAGTATATTTCAGCCCTAATTTTAGCTATCAAAAAGGGGCCACATTCTAACTTAATGGTTTAAACCAGGTATGTCCAAACCTGGCAACTTTAAGGCTTGTAGGCTTCAATTCCCAAAAATCCCCAGCTGGCATGGCTGCCTGGGGAATTCTAGGAGTTGAAGTCCACAAGTCTTAAACTTGCCAAGGTTGGTCATCTCTGGTTTAAACTGATATTACAATACTCAGTACTTCTTTTTAATGGGGCTTGCTGTTTAGATCTTTTTTGAATGCCTCCTGCATTGATGGTTTTCAGAAAAATGGCTGTGCAGAAATCCTGATTCAAAGGACAAACTCTGATTTGGAGTGTGATGTCTGCATTAACTCCTGTTAAGATCACCTTAAATCAGAGGCCTTGTTTTGGATGGGAGGCAGCTGTGCCTCCAGGAAAAGCAGAGTTGCTTTAAGAAGGACCAGGGGTGTCCAAATACATTTCAAATAGCATTATGCCCAAACAACAGCATAGAAATATTTGGAATCAGACTTCCCCAAGTTATAGTGTCTCTTCATCCAGGCCTTTGGGGACAGTTACTTACATAATTCTGAGTCAGAATAGCTACTATTAATTTTACTAATTAATAAAATGGATTGCTACCATGAAAATGGTGATTCTCTGGATTTAATTGACCATTGGGCCACATTTCAGTACTGATTCCTAAAAATTCTTAATCATGTACTCATGGCTGAAATCTTATGTGGTTTTGGCTGACTGTTTTTGATCCTGTGCTTTTGTTCTTTCAGATGGAAGACCTTGTAATGCTACCTTACAAGCTGTTTGTGGAGATAAGTGTATTCCTTTCTCATGGCTTTGTAATGGAGAACAAGATTGCCCTGATGGTTCAGATGAACTTTGTGGTAAGTTCTTCAAAGGCATTCCAGCCAGTTGAAGGCTAAGAAACATTTGGGCACTGACTTGAAAGGTACCATATTTGGAGGAATGGGGTGGGGTGGGGAGAAACCTTTTTAATCTGGTGAGAATGTTGGAATTTTTGATAGGTTATTAATTCTGATAAAATAGTTGTGGCGGTTTGTAAAAGGGAGTGATGATGGCTAATTTATACACTTCGACCACATTTTTGAAGCTGGGGAAGGAACAAGTGCACATACCTCAGGCAAAACACAGGGCTGCGGCAGCTCACTTCTAAAATACAGTACAAAGAGAAGAGGGAAGATTGGTGTTCTGCTTTGTTGGGGCAAATAAACCAGGAAGCCCCAAAGAAAGTTTACACAAGCACAAAACTGCCTAGTCCTGGCTTGGTCATACTTGCAATTATTTACTTTCTCAAGTAAGAACAGTACTACAGTTAAGGCGAGTGTTCTGTATATTGCTTAGTATTATTTCAACATATACAAGTTGAAAAGGTGAGGAGCAGACACTGCAAGCATCTTTAATTGCTCTTAGTTGAATAGCATGTTTTTTTTTCCAACCTGGGTCCATGTCTGCTGCTTCTTGCAAGTCCATGCCTAAATTTGCTCGTTTTAGTTAGCTAACTTTGTACCTCCCCAAAAGCCATATTTCCGGCTTCAGTCTGTACCCATGTTGGTGGACCTATGGAATGCGTGCCAGAAGCAGCATGCAGAGCTATCCCATGTGGGATGCGCGGCCTCGCTGGCTCCTCTTCCAAACGGTGCCAGTGTGTGCATGGCGCAATGGAACTCTGCTCTTCCGGGTTTGGGCGCTCCCACATGCATGAAGGCCAGTGAGGCTGTGCGATCCAGGCGGGATGGTTTTGCATGCCATTTCCGGCATGCAGGTCAGCATGCGGTGACGTAAAAGGTTAGCCTATATAATGCCACAGCCCAGGTATATAGGACATACTATTTAACACCAGATAAATAGAGGCCCAACCTACCTAGGAAATAAATTGTTGTACATATGTGGGGAACCTGAACCAGACCATAATTGAAAGGAAAAGATACTCATTCCAGAGAGCCATGTTCAAATAAATTCTAAGTCTAATGTTTCAAAGAAATTCTGGATAAAATTAATCTGTTCTTGAGATATTTTCATTTGCCATCAGCTATAGCCAGTATGGTGCTGATTGACTATCTCTCTTCTTATCTAGGAATTTCAAACTGTAAAGCAATGCAATAATCTCCATAGACCTTTGCCCTTTTATCTGATAGGACAGATCAAAGTAAGACAAGCAATGTTAATTGCATAACCTCTAGTGTCCTCCACATGTTCTGGACTATAAATTCAACATACCAGACCAGCATGACTACGGTAATAGCAAGTAATTTGGGATAGTTATCCAAACCATTTGGAACTCCTTAATTTGACATTTTGCCATGCCATTAATTGTCGAAAAGCTAAGTTGAGTTTACAAAGCAAGATGTTGAATAATTTCCTAATGTTAGTAGTCTTTACTCTGCTATGACTTTTGCCATGTTCTGTGGTGTATGCAATCTCCCCCCCCCAAAAAAATCCAATTTTGATAAGACTTAGCAATGAAAAGTGAATAAAAGACATTATGTGGATGTCTGGCTAAAGTTGATACTATTAGTCAATCCCTAAAATACAGCAATGAGCTTTTAACTAGGTTACAGTAATTCATGCTAGCTGTTTGCAAAATGACAAGAAAAAATAAAACCATGGACTCATTAGTGTTGATAAAGCATCAATAATTGATCAAACATATCAGCTTGGATAGTGTAAGCTTATAATGGAATAATCAGGGTGGCTTTGATTTGCATTGAACGGGAACTCTCTTTTCCTAGACAGCATTGCTGTAAATTGCACTTTCTGGAGTTGAGAACTATGGTCCATCTCGTCCAAGATAACCAGGTTAGACAGGACTGGCCTTTCCAGCTTCCCTGTAGCAGGAGCTCTTTGGATGAGCAGTCAGCCAGGAACAGAATGCCCCTCCATGGCATAACTGCATGTGTGTGGCAGCTTGCCTTTATGGACCGACTGATTATTTTGAATTCTCAATATACAATGGCATCAGCTTCCCATGGAATAGAGGATGTAACGTTGCTCACTGGCATCTTCGGGAGCAGTTTTTAGTGGATGGTTTTAGTGATGAGAGCTGTTTCTCCTTTGAACTGTAGAATCTGTTTAACTTTGAGCTCTTGACTGAGGCATACCTATTGTGGTAACTACTTCATAAACCAACTTGTTTAACCAAATCCTCCTGCACAGCTCTCTCATAGATTAGCACTGTGCTTTATAGAATTGTAGTCCCAGAACTCTAATGAAGGAAAGAGCATCTCCAGGAGTTGGGACTTCTGAATAGGTCTGTCCCAATCCACCAGGGGATATCCTATTTGGGACAAAACCTGAAAAAGCACCTTTGGGACAACCATGACCTAGATGACTGAGAATCTCTATAGACCTAATGGGGACAGTTTCTGTAGAGCAGTTCTTAGAGGTGAATCTAAGTGAAATCATTGAGCCTGTTTTTTGTTCCTCCTCCTTTATAGTGGTAGAATGTGGTGGTGACCCAAATGCCTGGCAATGTGAAGATGGAACATGTATTGCTGCTAAGTGGCATTGTGATGGTACCAGCGATTGCCTGGATGGCACGGATGAAGAGAATTGTGGTATGTATTACATTTAAAATCCCAAACAGGCTGCCTTCATGACACTGCTATTAAAAAAGAAACTGACAGATAAGGTATAATTTGGAAAAAGGCAGGCAGCTGCATCATAAACGATAAAGTAATTGTAGAGAGAAAAATACAATTTGAAGAATTAAGTGTTTTTTTATCAGGGCAACCTGGTCTACCCAAATATGGGACAGAGCATACTGCTTCCCCTTCCCCTTTCGCCTTTCAGCCCCAATCCAGAAGCCTTCACAGAGAGTCGCTTTCGCGACAAACTATTTTTTGTGTTAATTTTTTGTCGGTAAATATAAATTTAACACAATTTGGAGAATTGTGTTTGTAAAAAGAACTCTGCAGACAGATACTTGTGTGAAAGAAAAGATCATCTTTATTTTGGGAACTGTTTTATGCTAGATGAGGTAACTTTAGCTGTTGAATCTGCAGCATAGAACCTGCATGGTATACACTCTGTTACTGTAAAGACAGAGCAGAGCAACAGTTTACGTAGAAAAATACTAGGAAATAACAGTGATGACAGACCTGAAAACATGGTCTGCCCCATGATATTGTATAGAGGCAAGAAAATTAAGACTTCCCATGCCAAGGAAAAGTATTCAAAATGCAGAGTCAAACAGTGGTCACCATGTCATCAAAAAGAAGTGCAATTGTTTCTTGGGGGTAATTATGGTGTTAATTATCTAAGCAATAACGTAAAAGGTTTTTAAAATTCATTTCTCCCCCTTTGAAAACTGTCCATTTTTGTTCTGAATCTTGAGTACTCGGGTCTGTCACATCTTTTTGTTATTAATCTTGAGTTTAACCTGAACAGCTGCTGGGGAGATTGTTTTAGAAGACCTTCTCTTTTTTAGGAACTAAAGTAGGCTGCTGAGGGAGTTATCTTCATGCCTCTCTTGGCTACTTCTGCCCTGCTAACTAACATTTAGAAACTTGGATCAAGAGTCCAGCATTGTGACTCTTGTGAAGAAAACAAAATTACTGTAGTTCTATGCAGCTTTTCTGGTTGCTACTTCTTAAACATCTTGAAGCATATTTCTTTCAAGAAGGTGAGGGTAAATTGTATTTTAAGGGACATGAGTTGCAACTGGAATTTTGGCCTGAAGGTGTATTGTTAGCTATAGATGATAATACAGGCCTCTTTAGCTTGGTTTCCTTTAGGTATGTTGGCTATGCTGGTTAGGAATTATGAAAACTGAGATGCAACATTTCTCAAAGAAAAAAAACCCCGTGAAAAATGTTTTAAGATTGGGAAAGAAAATCCCTTAGCAAAGAAAATAGATTTGTCTCTAAAGATCATTTCAGTAGTCTTGTACATGAACATACAGTAGAAGACCTCTTGGGGGGGGGTTGTTTGTTTTTTGAAATATGGAACAATTTTATATAATAATATGTAGTAAAGTCATATAGCCCAATCTTTTCAAGGATTTAGAGGCAAAGATTTGTTCAATGTCCTACTAGCGGTCCTTAATTAAAAATACTAAGAACTAATTATGGGGTCCTATGTATACAAAATACAATGCTTGGGTTTTCCATGCAGTTCCAAAACTCTTTTTGCTGTCCTGGACAGGCAAAAGGAACTTTCCTCACCTCTTTTGAAAATGGTATAGACCTCTCTAATGTAGTCATTACAAAGTTTGCTTCATAGTAGAAATCACGGCTGTCCAGTTTATGCCAGTAATATAATGAATGAGGAGGGGAGGAAATGGTCTTTTCTGATATTATAATTTTAATTTAGTATGTGCAGAGAAAAAAATTCCATGCCAGAGCCACAATCAATGCATCAATCCATGGGATGTATGTGATGATCATGTGGACTGCATAGATGGCTCAGATGAAACCAACTGCTCACCCAGTAGCTGCTTAGCTGGACAGTGGCAGTGTAAGAACAAAGTCTGTATTATGGAAGACTGGAAGTGCAATGGCATTGACAACTGTGGGGATCACTCGGATGAAGAGTTCTGTGGTAAGCAACTTGATCTACCCATGAATGTATACAAATTCAACTAATTCATTGTAGCAAAGAATACATATCCAATACAATTCCTCGTGGAGCTGAAGTCCACAAGTCATAAAAGGGCCATCGTTCCCCACCCCTACTAGAGAACAATTTTTCTCAACCTTGGTAACTTTTAAGGCATGGTGGCCTTCAACTCCCAGAATTCTCCAGCCAGTATGAGGAATTCTAGGAGTTAAAGACTACATGACTTAAAATTATCACGGCTGAGAAAAACTGCTATTGAGTGACAGACCACAAGAGGGATATAAACAACCTATTACAAATAGTATTAATTACACAATAACAGTGAAGCAGTGATCTAATATATAAACCTCAAACAAGATTATTGTATTTCACAGTAATAATAAACTTAAATTTATTTTGCTTCCCTTGTTTATGTTGTAAGCAAAATACTCCTGTCTCCTGAGATGAATTTTATGAACTTTAGTGTTGAATATTCCTTCTACAGAGATACAGTAAATGTATTGATTTAATTGACCAACTTAGGCCTGGGAAGCTGAACTTGAGCTCCTTTCTCTTCCTACCTTGTGGTGGCACACGCCATTATGGATGTGTTTTACTGCTTTTTATTTTAATAAGAAGAGTATCTTTTATTTGACTATGTAGTTACAGTGGCAATGGGTAAACTGTCGGAGGACTTGAATTCATGATTTACAAGAAAATAATTTAGTTTTTTTTTTAATGTGGCATTTCTTTTTTGAAAAGTAGTAGGTCAAAGACAATACTTGCTGTGAAAAAGCAGCTGAAAAGTAACCATGTTTTATTCTCCAGAATTAGGTTTTAACTGTGCATCTTAAATATCAGTAACTTGTAACTTGTCCAGCTATTATGTGTTAAATTGAATAGCAATCCTAATAAAATGAGTTTGGTAATTGCATCATTTCCTTAAGCATATCAGCAACTGGACTTGGTATCAACAATCTATTTAATTCAGAAACCCAAACTAAGTATCTTACTTAGTGCCCTCAAAGTTGAAATACATAGGCTATGAGATCAGCTCTTGAACTAATCTTATATGAAACTCTTCAGATGGTTGGATAATAAAATCTGCTTCAAGAGTTTTACTTTCTTGAGAAGGTAGCTGAGGCAGGTCCTTACAATACTTTGGTTTGTAGGTCTGTTTGATTAACATATACATGCCTGTGCCAAAGAATTAGAAACACAGTTGTATCACTTGTTATTTGGAAGCTAGTGGAAGTTTTGGGCCATTTTCCCACTGGTGACTTAGAGCATTTTTATTGTATTGCCCAACCATCATTGAAGTCATATGAAGACCATTCGCTTTACTGTTACTTTTGTGCCGTGAAAATTGGATGACCCCAGAAGATGTTACCATTAGTGAACATCAGTGGGAACCAGCTAATGTGAGGCTTCTAGGAAGTGAATTCCAAGCACATGGGGACAGTACCAGGCTCAAGTAGAGTTCTTTTTGTACTTGTCCACAGTCACAAAGCTGGAAGGGAAGTCTGTCTGTCTGTCTGTCTAGTCCCATCCTCTATTCAAAACAGGAATTCAAGTATATCTGAAAGGGGAACATCCAGCCTCTGACTGAACATTCATAGTAGAAGAAAGTCTGCCCCACTCCCCAGATAATAAATCCATTTGTTCAGAATATACCATTTTCCCTACTGTTCAACTGGAACATGCTTATGTCTAGAACATACTGTGTGAGTCTCACTTTGAGAAAACAGGTTATAGCCTTCCAGAAAAGGATATATGAATTTATGTTGGTGACAGATTGACTTGCAATCAGTGTGAACCGTATATAAACATGTTTTTTTTTTAAATTTCTGGAATACAGCTCACTGCCCAGAAACAATGTTCCATTGTGATCAAGGGAAATGCATTTTGGAATCTCTAATGTGCAATGGTGGTGCAGATTGCTTGGATGGCACTGATGAACCCCGGTCTTGTGGTAATAAACCCTAACAGCATGATCTGTTAATATTACTTTTCACTAATCAAGACTTGAACGGGGGAGTAATTCTTGCTTCTATTTTTTTTTAGGCAAAAAATGCTCTCTGAATAATGGTGGCTGCATGGAGAAATGTACAGAGACATTTTGGGGTGTCAATTGTTCATGTGCTGCTGGCTGGGAACTTCTTGCTGATGGTCAAAACTGTTCAGGTATGAATGCAAAGGGACAATCCCTGAGCTAGATTCATAGATATTCTCAATTGCAAATTGTAATAAATATATACTGAGGAACTGACTACTTTAGCTTATGCAACTTGAACTGCCTCAAATTCAGCAGTTGAGTGAGCTGAACTTTTAAAGTGGAAATGGGAACTTACCACAAAATAGAAACTATATGAAAATACATTAATTGCCTAATGTATTAGGCAATTAAACAATAACAATAACAGGTGTAAGGGACTTTGAAGGTCTTCTAGTCTGGCCCCCTGCACAAGCAAAAGACCCTATACCATTCTAAATAAATGGCTGTCCAATCTCTTAAAAACATCCGGTGATGGAGCACCCACAACTTCTGAAGGCAACCAAGGCAACTGAAGGTTTGTTCCATTGGTTAATTGTTTTCATTGTCAGGAAATGTTTCCTTAGCTCTAGGTTGCTTCTCTTCTTTATTAATTTCCATCCATTGCTTCTTGTCTGGCCTTCTGATGCTTTGGAAAATATATTGACTCATTCCTCTTTGTGGCAGCCCCTCAAAGGGGGAACATTGTCATCATGTCACCCCTAGTCCTTCGTTTCTCTAGACTAGACATACCCAATTCATGCAACCATTCTTCATATGTTTTAGCCACCAGCCCCCTAATCATATTTGTTGCTCTTTTCTGTACTCTTTTGAGAGTCTCAACATCATTTTTATAAACATGATGATCAAAACTGCATGCAGTATTCTAAGTGTGGCCTTACTAAAGTTTTATAAAGCGGTACTAATATGTCACGTGATCTTGATTCTATCCCTCTATTAATGCAATCTAGGATTGCATTGTTTTTTGGGTTGCTGTTGCACACTGCTGGCATATGTTTAAGTGGTTGTCCACTAGGACTCCCAAGATCCCTCTCACAATTGCTGCTATTGAGCCAGGTTCCACTAATTCAGTGATGGCTAACCTTTTTGCCATCGTGTGCCAGGAGGAGGGGGAGCGGGGGAAGTTCGCGAGCGCCCACACCCATAATTCTATGCAACCCGCCCTGCACATGTGCGTGCAACCCCTCCCCCCCGCTCCTGGCATGCGATGGCCCGGTAGGCCTGTTTTTCTTTCTTACCTGGCTCCAGATCCTCTCTGTGCATCTGGGGAGGGCGAAAACAGCCTTTCCCACTCCCTTGGAGGCCCTCCGGAGGCCTGAAACGGTCCATTTCCCAACTCCCGGTGGGACAGGAAGTAACGTTTCTCTAGGTGTCTCTGGAGGCTGGGGACAGCAAAAAAGTCATTTCGTGTCCCACTGGGAGTTGGGAAATGGGCTGTTTCAGGCCTCCAGAGGGCCTCCGAGGGAGTGGGAAAGGCTGTTTTCGCTCTCCCCAGATGCACAGAGAGGATCTGGAGCCAGGTGAGAAAGAAAAACGGGCCTTCCCCACCCTCCCAGGCCCTCCAGAGGCAGGAAACAGCCTGTTTCCCTACTTCTGGTGGGCCCAGAAGGCCCGAAAATCAGCTGGCTGGCATGCCCACTGCTATGGTGGCATGCGTGCCATAGGTTCGCCATCACGACACTAGTTCTATACCTATACATTGGTTTTTCTTGCCTAAGTGCAAAACCGTACTTTATACTGAAATTATAGGGCCCAGTGTTCAAGTCTGTCAGGATCCTTCTGGATCTTTAGCCTATTCCTGCCAGCTTGGTGATGTTTGCAGATTTGATGAGTTCCCTTTCTATTCCCTCATCTAAATCATTTATGAAGATATTGAAGAGTACTGAGCCTAAGACAGAACCTTGGGGTACCCCACTGCTTATTTCCTTCAATAGAATAGAGTAGAGTTGTGTAGAGTTGAGTTGCATTGTGTTGCGTTGCGTTGCATTGCATTGAATTCTTTATTGGCCAATATAGTTGTAGTTCCATTAAGGATTACACGATGAGTGCAGATTGTCAGCCAGTTATGAATCCATCTGGTGGTGATGCTGTCTATTCCATATTTTTCTAGCTTACCAAGAAGTAGGTTGTGGTCTACTTGGTCAAATGCCTTACTTCAACCCAAGTATACTATGTCCAAAGCATTTCGCCTGGTCCACTAATTTTGTCACTTTGTCAAAGAATGAAATAACATTTGTTTGGCATGATCTGTTTTTGACAAACCCATGTTGGCTTCTGGTTATAACTTTGCTTCTAGGTGTTTGCAGATATGTTGCTTGATTATTTTTTTCCAGGGTCTTCCCAGGTTTATTGTGTACACCTAATGTTTTAACATTATAAATGATCTATAAATGATTAAACTTTTGATGTAACTGCCTTTACAATTTATAGCAACTTTCAACAGCATGTTTTGTTCTTTGCAGATATTGATGAATGTGAAACAGCATACAGTCCTTGTAATCAATTGTGCAAGAACACACTAGGTTCTTTTACCTGTGATTGTGTTGAAGGATATGAACTCTTCAATGGAACCATTTGCAGTGTAATAGGTAAGCTTTCAGTGTACAGTACAATTGGCATGCAATGAGTTTAAGGGGCTGAAAAAAATGAGATCTCTTAGTTTCACAGGAGTCAGAATTTACAAGTAATTTGAGACACAATTAAATCCTACTTATTGTTAGCTGGTTAAGAATCCTAAGAGATGCAGTGCCAGCTCAGATCAAGAGGGCTTCAGATTGGGATGGCTGAGTTTGACTATGTCTTTGACTTAGAGCAAAGGTAGTTAAAGTTCTTTTTTGTTTCAGATGGTGATACCAAAATGCTACTAACTACGCTACATCAAGGTCTTGTTCTCCTGGATTTAAAGACGCACCACCTGGAGATTCTAGTATCTACAAAAACAAAACCTGTCTCTGTTGCTTATGACCTGTTAAGGAGAAGCTATTATTGGGTTGGTGAAGATAAAAAACTGCATGTTTATGTGTCTGGAAACAGTGAGATGATTCTTTATCCAGGTAAAATTGTTTACTGCGGGTAAATCCAGAATCAAAAACTAATCCTTCTGTATTTACTTTATTTTTGCTTCTACACTTGAGCAAAAGCAACGTTCAGCTTCAGTTCTAGGTGAATCCTACTTTTCTTTGGGATGAGCTTTAAATCTGTCAACACTACTTTTACAGTCAACGGTGCCTCAATTTGTCTTTTCACATAGAGTTGTGTGGCACTCCTTTGGAACTGAACACAATTCCTAGAGCCTATCGGAATATGTGGGAGTAAAAATTAAGGATTTTTTTCCTTCTGAGGAGGTTGAGATTTAACATGCAAAATGTGTGTCTCAAAGCTTGCCATGGCATAAATCCCCTATAATAACCCCCAAATCTTTCTCTCCCTCCCCAATACGGAGCAAATTTCCCCAACTTTTGATAGTTTGAGGAGACCAATGTGTAATGTAAGTCAAGGGCTGATCAAGGCACTGATATTTTCAGTTAACTCTCCTAAACCCAAATACTGTACAGAAAATCTGATGATAAAAATGCAACATTTTCTATATTTTCTACATAATAGAAGATGACCATTGATAAAGACATAATCATTAAATGGAATATATTCTATTATCGTGAAGTTGAATTTACAGGAAGGTGAAATAGCAAGCAAAACATTACAGAGACCTCTTAAGCCTCAGAAGTGTTGTAAAAAAGTTCTCTTACAGAAGATTATTTATGTAGGGTGTTTATAGCACCCTACAAGTTACAGATGGACTATAACAAAAACTCAAGAGTCTCTTCCCATATTTTGTCTTCTTGAATTTCTCTAATTTTGCCTATAGATGTCAGTGGTGTCAACAGCATCTCTGTAGACTGGTTCACAGGGCAGTTATACTGGGCCAGCCATTTTCCTCGTGCCATCTTTGCTGGTCTGAATGACGGTAGGGGCTATGTAAAGGTCTTAGAGAAAAATCTGATACCGGAGCAGCTGATTACATTTCCAGAAAAAAGGTACAAGTTCCAGAATAGACGCTATTATATTTACTGTGTTGTCATAGTGATATAATTTCATGCATACATGATGCCTGTCAGTACCATGCCTGACCATATAACATCAAGACCCTATTTATTAAAAATGCCCCGAGTTTCAAGAGATCACCAAATTCAGTAAGATTTCACCGTTCTCTCCAGAAATTCCATAAGCCTTTGGGGCTGGAATCCCAAATCTTTACATACAGTTAGTCTTCAATTTACAGCACTTTGTTTAATGACCATTCAAAGTTACAACAGCACTAAAAAAAGTGACTGTTATGACTGTTTTTCACACTTATGACCATTGTGGCATCCCCATGGTCATGTGATCAAAATTTGGACACTTGGCAACTGACTCATGGTTATGATAGTTGCAGTGTATATTTAGGATGGTTGCAGTGTCCCGTAATCAACTTTTCAGACCTTGTGACAAAGCGAAGTGAAAGGGGAAATCGGATTCATTTAAGAACCATGGTATTAACAACTGCAGTGATTCATTTAACAACTGGCAAGAAAAGTCGTACAATGCGGCAAAAGTCACTTAATAAATGCCTCACTTATCAACAGAAATTTTGGGCTCAATTGTGGTCGTAAATCAAAGACTGCCTGTAGTGTAATCTCAGAAATTTTTAGACCTAAACATTTGATAAACATTTAACTCCTTTTAATTTTTGGTCCCTGTGATACTATACAACATTACATAGTGTTGCTCAGCTCCTGAGAAGATCCTGATCTAAGAATGCATAAGTCTTTAATGTGTGGGAACAAACTGGATGAGTAACTAAAGAGTCACATTTCAAGACCACTTCTCTTGAAGCATTTTGCTCTGGTTTTCTGTTTTATCACAGATACATGTACTGGGTGAATTGTGGTGAAAAGGACGGGGCTGTAATAGAAGCCGCAGGGATGGATGGATCAGACAGACATGTGCTTGTGGTACTAATTGCCGAAGAGCCTGTGGGATTGACTCTTGATTACATCACTAATAGACTCTATTGGATCAGTATGTATAAAAAGGTGTGCAATTCAGCCCATTCCAAATGCAAAGCTACCTATGGTTTGCATCTCTCTCTCTCTCCCTCCCTCCCTCCTTCTCTCTCTCTCTCGATTTATGAAAACAAATCCTTTTTTAATACTGTATATCAATTTTTGATATTTCTACTTAGGGAACATTACATTTTTAAACTTGTTGCGGTCCATCTATTTCATTAGGGAGCCAAGCAAAGGGGTCATAGAATGACAATCTGTACAAAGAGTTTTATATATGACTAATACTAAGGGTTCAGAGGGCTATAGATTTGAAATGATCCTTATTATTTTTGCTATATTCCCATTGATACTAAACTTTGTGAAAACCTTAAAAGTATTTTTATTTGGCTTTTTAGATTACTTTGGAAAATGCTCAGGGAATAAAATAAAAAAAAATCCTGCTGCATAAGGGTAAACAATCTGGCCAAACAATTCTTTTAAATGTCTGTTCAGAAGCAAAAATATTTTACTGAATTGATCTAATCCTCTGCAGAATTGTCCTCAAATGAGGATATGAAAGGGTTAGGGTTACGGTTGAATTGCTAGCATTAATCCATATAGAGGGCCACAATGTATAAACCCTATGATCTGAAGAATTTGAGCAAAAAATGACGTACAGAATTGCCTTGGTTATCAGAAAACATGGCTAGTGAATTAAAGCAATGAGTAATACTTCTGTAAGTCTGAATGCTGTTTTCAAATTGCTTTTTTTTTTTTAGTCTATTGAAACAATAAAAGTAGATGGTTCTGGAAGATATACTTTCCCTGATACAATCCTGAGAAATCAGGATCCCCGAGGACTTGCTGTATTTGAAAATCTGTTCTTCTGGAGCACTGCAACACATTTGTATTATGCATCTCGCACCTCTCCCGGTGTTGGTATACTGCTGAACGCCTCGATCTCTTCATTCACAGTATTGCATGAGCTACAGCAGTCACTAAGTAAGTTGATCTCTTTGGCAAGCCATAAGCAGGGCTGAGCTAGTAAGAAAAATAATTTACCAGTGCATTGTCTTCCCCCATGGGTGTTTCTGGGATACACTGTAGGAATTCATAAGCAATTGTAATAAACGTGCTTGGGGAGAATTATATATTGGTGATTGGATTAAAAGATAATCAGGAACATGTGGGGAGGTCGAAGAGGCAACCAGGAGATATATCTAAAGCAACTTCATTTGAGCCAAAGGTTGAAAGGTCTTTATTGGGTTCATGCTAGAATTGTGGAGCACTTAGGTTTGAAGGCAAAATTTGCTTCAGAGCACATGAGTTGATTGTGTACCATATGTCTGCAATTTAAGACATTGTAGCCAAGTGTTGCACATATGCTCTACAGCAGGGTTGTCAGGGCATGTCATCATGGCGGTGTCACATGATGTATCGGGACTTTCCCCCCTTCGCTAAACTGGGTGTGGGCGTGGCCAGTGCATGACGCATCCGGCCCATGGGCCATGAGTTTGATAGCCCTGCTCTAGAGCATCCTTTCCTTTGAATCCAAAGCATTGTACAGCCCTAATTCACATGCCATGCTGAATAATTACATAGTTTGGAGAAGAGGTTAATTAGTCTTGAATACTAACATATTCCCTTGATTTCTAGATAACACAAATGCATGTTTACCAGGAGTGTGCAGCCACATTTGTCTTTTGTCACCAGTTCATCCCAAAGGCTACAAATGCGCCTGTCCAAAGGATACTTTTCTCCTAGCTTCTGGTGAATGTGGAGGTAGGTCTATAATTCTTGGATGCAACTGGAAGACCATAAGTCCCTGGAAGATTGGTGGAAACTCTCTCTTGACCTTTTAAATACTAGTTTTGCGACTCGTATAAGCATCGTATTTTAGACGTCAGCTGTTGTGACGTGATGCAGATACTAAATATGCTTTAGCTGTTGACAGAAAAGAGAGAGGTTAATGATGGTTTGGGTAGCCACCTATCATATCCAATTGTAGTTTTGATCCCCTGAGCCTACTTTGTCATCCATTATCTTAATATAACAAAAGCCAATGGCAATAAGGTTAATAGCTAGTCCTTGCAAGCAGATTTTCCAAAAAATACAAATAAACAGAATATGTTTATCCATGTCTTAATTTCTTTTGAGAAAACAATTTTCAAGTCCTCTGAAGAATGGTTTATAACTAAAAACCAGACCATTATGTGTATGTTCTCCATTCAAGGAAGCACTAATGTCAGCTGTTGATATAGAAAGCCAAAAGCTTCTGTGATTCTTAGGTGCAATGTTAAGTGAATGTTCTTGGTGCTTGAATGGCTGGAGAAGTTATTATCCAAAGTGATATTCTTCATATGTGTACTTTGACAGAGTTGAAAGTTGTGTATTCTACTGACCATGAAATTTTCCAAGTGCATTTTGGACCAGAAGGCATAGTTCAGCAGCATCAACCCCTGATACCTGAATGGCCAGAAATAATCTATTTTCAGGACATGGATTGGAAAAGAGGATTCCTCTACTGGATTGATGATAAAGGAGAACTGATGCGCTACAATATAGCAACAAAGACAAAATTAATAATTCCTACAAATTCACCAGGTAAAGCACTATCCATTGGTATAAGTGAAATATAATACGGCTCTTAGTGTTACAATTACTCCAAGCCTTGACATTTTCACATAACCTGCAGGTTATTAGCAGCCATCTAAAAGAATTGCCTCCAATCAGTGTTAAAACCACACACAAAAAAAAATAAAGAAATTGATGTTTCTGGCAGTTAGAAAACATATTCATAAGTAGATTTCTCAATTGTTTACTCTCTTAGGTATTATAGATTTTCTGGTACAATGCCGTAAAGACCTCAATTTTTTACTAATGCCAACATTTTTTAGTCAGCACGACTGACTAGGAATATTTTTTATCCTGTGTATAAGGACATCCAAGAACAGAGAGCAAAAGCCTGTAGAGCAGTTTCTCAAGCTCAGCAACTTTATGAGGTGGGGATTTCAACTCTCAGAATTCCCCAACCAGCATGGAGAATTCTGGGAGTTGAAGTCCATACCTCTTAAAGCTGGTGAACTTGAGAAACTCTGCTGTAGAATTATGTAGAAGAGTTTGACTCTGAAGTATATAACCACTTAAGGACTCATTCCTCCACAGGAAGGTTTGGCTTTGGCATCTTGTTGTGTATGCAGGAAGATGAAATTGAGGTAAATGCCTACATAACAACAGGAAGTTACTTTCATATTTAATTTTCCTTTGATTTGAAGGGGTTATGAACATGACGGATAAGGATGAAATTACTTTTTAAAAAGTCAAACTTGGTTAAAATTTAAAACTAATTCCATCTGTTGGATTTTTTTGGAAGAAAAAAACAGATCACTCAATACCAATTTCTGAATGTGGAATATTGGCAGAGAAGGCTAATAAGACAGAACTGGAGATTTGTAACCTGAAAAACAGATGTTGAATCTTGACCATGCTGACTGTATGTTTTAATCACCATATCTAGACTGAGTGTTTGTTTTAATCTTTCCCATGAATAAAACATTTTTAGGACAAAGAAGGAAATATAGTCCCTATATTAGGAATTTAATTGAGGAATTTTTTTTTAAAAAAAATCAAAATAGGCATAGAAACTTTGAACTAAACACACAGACATTATCTCCCACTGGCAAGATTGTAATATGGTGATTGGATTAGGAATTATTACATTGTAGAATAGTAATTGTAGAGAGAAATCTGAGGCCATATTGATTCCAAGCACCACAGTCCTTATCATTGGGTCAAAGACTTGAGAATTACACAAAGGTTCTGTTTAGGGTATCTATGAATAACTGTTACACTCTAAAATGGTTTGGAGGTGAGGATGTCGAGACCTATTCCTGTTTTAGATGAAACAAAGGAAAGGGCAGCAGTTAATATGCATAGTTTGTTTGGTTTAATCTATTCATTCTGTCCTTAGATAAACTAAATGAAAATAATTCTGAATGCTTGTTGAACCCACAACTTCCAACCAAACCCAGCTGGCTTTGTTGCTAAGGTGGGACTAGAATTTACAGTTTCCCAGTTTCTATCCTGATTCCTTAAAACAGCTATACCAAACATTCTCTCACCTTGTTTAGTTAACCAAATGTCAGTTAAAAGCTGGTACAGCCACTACTAACAGTTTGACCTCTCTAATCAAGGAATCCATATTACAGAAGGAAGGCATAAAGCTGTTTTATTAGCCAAGGCACATTCAGAGCATTCATTGTCTCAATTCCAGAATGATGAGAATGTAGGAAGTAGTAGATCGTGGTGGCAATGTGGCTTGGGAGATAGCAGTGGAACTGCAAAAATGTTTTCTTAGTCAATAATGAGCTAGGAGACATACCTGGCAAGAAGGAGAATATTAACTTGTGAGAGAGGATTAGTTTCCACAGATTCTAGAGCTCTGTTTGTCTGTTGAAGAATCTTGGATCAGAATAGTTTCTGCCTCTTTCTGCTAGTGGTGTCTTCTATTTTTAAGGTTTAGTTTTCTGCATGGAAAGAGCAAAAGGCCATTTTATATCCAGCAAGTTAGTTAAGGAATTATGGCGGAAAGAAAACTGATTTCCCTTTTCTTCCATTTTTAGTCTGTGCAGCAACTGTTGATATACCATCAGGAGATCTTTATTGGTTAACTTGCGACAGAACTAAAATTAAGATTACCACGTTTGTTGGCTTGGTGACAAAGATCCTCTATCATGCAGCCCTCAAGAATATTATATGGCAGGTCTACCTAGACTGGCATAGGGCATCTCTCCTCTGGCTTGAAAGTAGCAAACGCATCCAGTTCCACCCTCTGAAAAGTGGGCTAATCAAGGAAGTGTGGAATGAAACCTGGACAGAAGATACTCCATTAGTTCTGGATATAAGTTCATGCAATTTTTTCTGGACTTCAAAAGACATGGGTAATAGAGTTATTATTTATGGAGATTTGGCTAAAATATGAAACACTGTGGAAATGCAGTACAAGCCTACAATTTATCTCATTTCAATTTGATTTGCTCATAGTAGCATGTATTTACATTTGACTAGCTATAGAGCAAGTTATGTTTGTGCTAAGAGTTAGAATGAGCCGTTTAGCCCATCACATCCCAGCATGCTGGTCAGGGAATTCTTAAGCCTTAAAGTTGCCAGAATTGAGAAACAGTGTTTAGTCTAAGTCACTTTATTGCAGTGTTCATATGAAAATGTTAGATCTGGCAACTGGTTTGGGCTTTAAAATTAGACTACTCAGTTCATTGCTTCTTGAAAGAAGATATACATCTAGAGTATTTGCTTCTACCTGTCACAAAGGGATTCTAACATCTGCATTCTTTCTGTTATCACAGTGCTTAATGTACTGAATGTCGTCACCCACCGGAAATATAATCTGAAGCAGGACTGGACCCATGGAGTGGCAGCTGCTTATAGGCCTTACCTGGTCACATTCAATGACACATCACTTACAATCTGGAACATGAAGTCAATGAAGGCCTCCACTGTGCAAGTAGCTAAAGTAAAAAAGGCACTGTTCGTCTTTGACACAGATTTGAAAAGTAGTAAGCAAATTCCAGTGAATAGTAAGTGATGGCCAGGCAAAAATCTTTATTTGGAGAGTGACTTCCAGTTTGACAGTAGGCAGATTGTATTGGTGGCTGATTGAGTTGGTAGCTTTGTATATGCTAAAGCAATTTCTGCAGGATCAGCCCATACCCAAATGTCTCAAGGAAGACTGGCAGATACTTAGAGTTGACCTTTGCTTTGGTTTGCCAGATTCCTGGGTTTTGTGCCCTTCATAGCTCCCGGAAGAGAATAGTGTCTTTATAGAACTGTGAGAACTGTAAGGCAACCTATCACTTTGGTTGTGGTCTCAGTTCTTCTGGGTCTCAATTAAAAATTATAGTCATGAAGTTTGAGCCAAGATCCAAGTGCTGGCAATCATGCATGAACTGAAAATGGGATATGTTGCTGCTTGCCTCAAATTGAATAGAAGGTGTTGAGCAGATTAGAGGTAGTGTAAAATAGCTGCCCAGTGTTAATAATGCTTTGTAAGTGTCCTAGCAGTACAGAGTAGCACCACCACCTCATGGTGGCACCCTAACAAGGTAAGTTACAACTTGGGAACCAGAGGCAAAGGGCTACAGTAAGGGGTGCTCCATGCATTCTGCCCTCAGAAGACCTAAGTTTGTGGTTAGACAAAAAAAAAAGGTGGGGAGGGCAAAATTTTAAGATTCTGGTGTCACCAGATTATTTGGTGAGTTGCCTCTTTCTAACTGGACTATTTTGGTTATAAAGTTCAAAAAGTTAATATAACTTTTATCTATTTGGCTATCTTTAAAGACTAGTGATTTGCTTCTTTATTTGGTTGTTAGTGCTTTCAAGTCAGACCTGAAAGTCTGCGGGATTTGGGGCAAGATTTTCATTTTTGGGCAAGATTGTCATTGCTAAGGTTCAAAATCACCCAGCCAGCTTCTGTACCTAAGACAGAGCTAGAACTCATGGTCTCTTAGTTTCTTTCCTGATATCTTTAACCATCATACCAAAATAGCCCTTAGTATATAAGCAGGGATGGAAAATGGGTCCATTTGACTAGCTATAGACATAAACATTTTGCTAATGTTTCTGCTGTTACCTTATATGAATAATCTCTTAACTTTTACTAGTAACTTTTTAGGAATAATAATTTAGTAATAATTAGAATTGTGTACACTGATAGCTAAAAACTCTTATTGCTGTGCTGCAGAACTCTACTATAAAAGTAGATTGGATAATTGGTTCACAATCCTAAATCCAAGGACTCTCTTCACTTAGTGTGTAAAATGTTTTGATTTTGCTTAATTTATTTGATATGCAGTGTCTTTATGTAATCTACTTTACAGTGAATGTAATGTTTTAGTTCTACAGCACATTTTAAATAAGAGAAAGCAAAGTAGGTTCTTTTTCTTTTAAATGACTGATCCTTAAAAACATAGATAAAACATTTTCATTCTAATGTGAAGGCTGGTAACACCTTTCAATCTTTTTAGGTGGATTGAAATACTCAAGGGATGATATGATCCCCATAGTGGTTGAACTTTCCTAGGTTTTTAGGCAACTAGTCCATTTTCCCACAGAAAAGAAAAAATATTGTTATCAAATGCAAGAACTATAGTGCTGTATAAATACATGAACGCACAAAGAGCTGTGAAGTTAACCTTTTTATCTGCAATTCAACTTTTTTAGCTGTAACGCAAGTGGTTCCTGTCTCAAATCCAACTGTTAGATTGCCTCATACTACGACTAGAGCAGTTCCACAGACAAAATTGATGACAGTCGTGTCCAGGACTACATCTACCACCTCAGCAATGGCACCTATTGTTCTCCATACTACATTTACTACAAAGGCCGAAGTTGTGACACGTCTGGTCTGTGGATGGGCAGAATTGCTTTGCAGGAACGAAAAAGAGTGTGTTCCCCACGAATACATTTGTGATGGGGACCAAGATTGTTCGGATGGATCTGATGAAGAGGACTGTTCCCTGTTCTGTAATAACCCAGGTACTAAGTTCTCACAGTTTGGACACCAAACATTTGAGCAAAGTGGGGTTCTGTTATTTTTATCAATTTTGTTCTGAGGCATTTTACCTGCAGCTGGTGGCTTGGAGAATAAAAAAATAGGCACTGCATTGGCTGCCTGTGTATTTCAAATGCAATTCAACATTTTGACCTGGATCCAAGGTATTAGGGGACCATTTTTTCTGGGTAGAATCTGTCCATCTTGTGCAATTAACCTGCAAAAGGATGTTTTGGATTCTCTCGTAGCAAGGCATTAGTGAGGTCTTTGTCTGTAGTTATCCAACTCTTGGGAATAGTTGCCCCCTTTGGATGTTTCCCACACTTGACTTGTAGGAAGGTGATGAGAATTGTCCTTTTTCACCACATATTTGGGAGTTACCTGTTACTTGACTACTTGGTGTTAATATTATTGTTAATTTTAACTTTTTAGTTTTTGTTGTTGGTATTGTTTGGGAATTTGCATGTGGACTGCCAGATGTCTATTGAATGGGGAATGACCTAAGCCAAGTAGCAATTAAATAAAACAAATACAGCATCACATGCACTATAAGAGCAGACAGAGCAACTCTTAACCTAATGAAATAGATAATATTGATAAGTGTGGTTATGTCTGCATCAAGGCCAGACTTATGTAAAAGATTAAAATGTGCTCTTACTGAACATGGCAACTGGCATTGTAAATGCTGAGATCAGCTTAATAGGAAAAAAAAGGAACCTGCAAATATGTAACTAAGTGCCTAAATATAGGGCTTATTGTAATGTGTCTCTCTTAAAGGAGTCTTCCAGTGCCAGAGTGGCCACAGATGTATAAATGAGAAGTACCAGTGTGATGGGATACAACATTGCCCTGATGGCTCTGATGAATCTAGCTGCTGGACGCCAACACCCCTCTGTGCTTTACGTTGTGATGACAACACTCGCTGTATGCCGGAGAGCTGGTTATGTGATGGGAACCCAGACTGCAATGATGAGGCAGATGAAAAAAACTGTGGTAAGCCAGTGCAGAAAGACAGATATCTAAGAAGGAACAACTGGTTTTTAGATTATTGGTTTTCTAGGCAGGTTGTAGCTGGAATAAACAGGAAATTCCTTGAAATACATTTGAAGCTACTTGGCTAAATGATTAGGGGGTTGGGGCAAATGCAACATAAATGCTAGCGATACCCATTTCTATTTCTCCTTGTCACTGAATCAGATGAAAACTTGTGGGGGCGGGTCAGTGGCTGGAGGCAGTCAAGCTTTGAGGTAGGCTAATTAACATAAAGTCCCAACAAGGTGAGCGACTCTACCTAATAACCTCCTCACTAGATTATGGTAATGGTCTTTATTTGGGATGCTTTAGGAAAAAGAAATAAACAATAAGCTATAGTTAGTCCGAAGGTTCAAAGAATTATGTTGATTGTATATGTTTTTCTGAGTCAAATTTAAACTGGTGACATTGACTTACGTTGCCTAAATTTCTCAGGACTCAGATTTCTGGAGGAAGCCCTTTTCCCATATCAGGTTCTTAGTTATACGCAGTGAAGACAGCCTTTCCTGTCTCATGTTTTTTTTTTTATTTTGATTCCCTTAAGTCAGTGTTGACTCCTGGAGACTATTGGGACTAGTTCCCACATGTTTTTGTTGTTGTTTGGCAAGATTTCAGAAGTGGTTTGCCATTGATTACATCCTAAGGCTGAGAGAGAGTTACTGGCCCAAAGCCATCCAGCTTGATTCAAGCCTAAAGTGGGACTAGAACTCACAGTCTCCTGGTTTCTTACCACACCATACATACCATCTCTACCAAATATTTTCCCTCAGCTATTTTTTTTTGGGGGGGGGAAGGGGATATAGGCCACAAAAGCAAAATAAGACACAAAAAACTCCTCACCAAGTTTAACTGCTACCTGCTCTACAATCACAGACTGCCTTGTGGAAACCACATTTTGAACTTAACAAAGGGAACCCTTAAGCAGATACCACCTCCGTTCTAATAATTGTGACTCTTTTATGGCTGAGACCAGTGGCTTCCTAACTCTTCTTCTGCACTCATATAACTAGGAAAATGTGGTTTCCACAAGGCAGTCTGTGATCTTAGAGCAGGGTTAGGGTTGGGTTAGGCCTCTGACAGCAAAAAGGAGGCAGGGGACGATGCGCGCAAGTGAGGTGAGTCAGTGAACAACATCCCCGCAAAATAAGACCTGGTGCCTTTTTTGGTGGCAATTTTTTAAAAAATAAGACAGGGTCTTATTTTCAGGGAAACACGGTATTACAATGTCATGGCCAAACAGGGAACATATATCTTTTGCTGTACGTATTACTCTTCTATCATGTAAGTTAAATAGCATTCCTTTTATAAACTCTTGAAAGGTTTTAAAGCTGTTGTTACTTACTAATTGATTTGTGCTGTCTGGGTAAGTTTTGGGGTGGCATGAAACAAGGGAAGGTTAAACATTATTATCTGCTTGCAGCTGAGATCAAATGCGGTGATCTGCACTTCCAGTGTAAAAGCGGGCAGTGTATTTCTTATTTCTTGCACTGTGATGGAAATTACAACTGCAAGGACCATTCCGACGAAGAAGACTGCCCAGTCCCCAAACAAGTGCACTGCTACAATGATGAAATCAAATGCCATGAAAGTGGAGAATGCATCCTAAAGCAATGGCTCTGTGATGGGGATCTGGATTGCAAAGATGGGTCAGATGAGCAGGTACAAATGGCTAGTCTATTTCCTTGTACCATGAAGTAGTACAGCATCTTAGCTTAGTGAAAACCCTAAAGTAAACTAGCTGTCCCTTTGGGATAAACAGGACGATATGGTGCCATCTCAACCACTCAGCAGCTGGAATAAACTACTGGGGCACTCCATTGCAGTCGTTGCCTTAATTAAGAATTAAGTAACCTTAATTGTGTGATGCTTGAGCAGCGTGGTGACCTAGAGATTAAGACTATTGCCTCACCCTGAGGAGGCTGAAGGTTCAATCATAGGCAGCGGCAGATGTTTCTCTATCAGGGCACAAAGAAAAAAAATATTTGCTGTGAACTCCATGTGGCATCAGGAAGGGCATCTGGCCAGTAAATGCTCAGCTTCACCCAGTCGCCCTGGCTCTATCCCAATACAAGAGATTACAGGATCATAAAAAAAAAAAAAAGTGTGATGCTTATTTCTGAATACTTTTCAAGATGTTTAGCTCTTGTCAAGAGTGAAAGTTTCAGTCACTGCTAGCACACGGCATATTCCCTTTCATGGTCACCAAATGTCTCTGAACTGCTACAGAGATGTTAAGATACTTCTTTCTAAAGATATGCAGTATGTATAGGCAGACTTCTCAGCAAATCAGAAGGCAGGAGCAAGCAGCTGCCTGCCCCCCACAGAAACCATTTTTCAGGTTTTTTCTCAATAGTGCCTGCTTTCATTTCCCCCAAGTTCTCTGTGTTACTGTAAAGTGTCACGGCTCAGATAGTATTTTTTCTGCAGCAATATAACATCTCCAAGCCAAGTCAGTCTGACCTTGCCAGCAGGCAAGAAGAATAGAATAGAGCTGGAAGGGACCTTGGAGGTCTTCTCATCCAGCCTCCTGCTCAAGTAGGAGGCTAACCTATACCATCTCAAGTCTCCCAAGTATTTCAAATGTTTCATTATTGTACAGCAGCAGATCTTGATGGATGGATTGATTGATTGGTTTTTACAGGACTGTGGATTTCCAAAGATACATTGTGGTGCCCATCAGTGGCAATGTCACAACTCATTAGAATGCATCCCAGATCAATGGAATTGTGATGGGGAACATGACTGCAAAGACGGGACTGATGAGATTGGATGTATGTAAACTTCCTTCATCCTGGCAGTTGGTGCAATAGTCCTATTTTTGAAATGGGAGTGGGGGGTGGGGTTCTGTCTTTCTTATGAGGCATTAGCTTAACAGAGAGAAGTTCTGCAAAACAAGAGCCAAGCTACAATGGTAGTATGTTAGTCTTTAAATGTTTGGTTTAATGTCCTGTAGAGTTGAAATTTATAGGGCACCTCATTCTCACTATCCTTCTGCCGCTGCCATTTATTTCCATTTGTCCTTGCCAGATTGTTGAGCTCATGTTCTCCTTTTTTAATATATTAAAGTCATCAAAGTATAAAATATAAATGAAAATTAAAATAGTAGGCAAAGAGGGAAGGGGAAAAGAGAGAGAGAGAGAAAAGTATAGGTTAAAGGGGAAAGGGAGCAGCATTAACTTCTGACTCTCTTCTGCATAGTAGAATAAAGATAACATTACAGCCTCAACTTTTTACTTTTGCACACTTAATATGTACTAGCCATTTCTATAGCAAACTTGTCTGATTAGCAAATCCCAAAGTCAAAGTTTCATTTTTTTTCTATCTCAAGCACAAAATCTAGATGCGGTTTCCAAGCAGAAGCAATATTGGATGTATCCAGGGGTGAAATCTAAAAATTTTTGCTACCGATTCTATGGCTGTGGCTTAATTAATGGGTGGGGCTTGGTGGTAAGGTGACTGGGAGGGCGTGGCTTGTTGATCAGGTGGGCGTGGCCAAGTCAATGTCACTTCTTTGCCCTTTTTTAACCTACAAAACACAACACAACACAACTGGCTCACCCACAATATAAAAGCAGCTGTGCTAGACCCAAAATGGCCCCTGCAACAAGCAGGAACCTCACACAGCCACAAAAAGCCCAAAAACCCAACTTTTGCACTTTACAGACACAAAATTCCACATACAGCTTTGTGACATTTTGTGTGTTTGTGTAGTTAGAGTGAAACACTACAGAAACACACTAAATCTCAGAAAGCTGCACAAATATTATTTTATTTTTATTTATTTTTATTTTTATATAAAAGCAGCTAAATTTAAAACTTTCTAGACTTTAAATGGCTAGGTCTAAAAAAAGAACAACTAAAAAAACCCCAATTAACTATTTTTTAAAAATAGTTTATTTTTTATTTTCCCCAAAGGGGAAAAAAACTTACCCAATTGAACAGGGGTCTCCAACCTTGGCAACTTTAAGACTTGTAGACTTCAACTCCCAGAATTCCTCAGCCAACTTTGCTTTTCTGGCTGAGGAATTCTGGGAGTTGAAGTCAACAACTCCCCACCTGCTTGATTGCAGGCAGGGAGATTCAGTTGCTTGCTGATGCAATGGATTTGCAGGGATTACAGCAAGGCGTTGCGACCAGCAGCTAAGATAAGCAAGCTGGGTGGGGAGGGGGGATTTTTGCTATGAGCCATTTAAAAGGAAAAAAGTTTTTTTTTTTTTTACATGGCTCTGGCGATCCAAGCTGAGTTGCCTGATTAGCAGGCAACTCAACTGGGATCGTCAGAGCTTGGCTGGTCAGAACCATTTAAAAGAAAAAAAGGATCTAATGATCACGCGGCTCAGCTGGGTATGGGGGGCGGGGGCAGGGATTTTTGCTACTGGTTTTCCAAACTGCCTGCCACCATCGCTACCTACTCGCCCGAGCCGGTCTGAACCGGGAGCATTTCACCCCTGGATGTATCCTTTTCTTTGATTAAAGCAGTTAATTTGGCCATCTCAGCTAATTCCATCAGTTTCCAGCCATTCTTCTTCCATTGTGGGAATTAGGAAATAAAAACTTTCTGTTTTATGCATAGAGCAGTCTTGCTTCTGTCAACATCTATAACAACAAAGTTCCAGATTTTTCTTCAAGTTCTTTGTTGACTTATGTTCTTCTTACCTACCCCATTCCAGATCAATCAAATGAAAAGACATATTGAATTTGGCTTATGCTTCATTAGTTTTCAATGGTCATTTTGTTTATAATTGCACTAAAACTAGAATCTTGAAATCCTCTTTGCTTTTCCAGGTAAGCCCAGGAAATGCCATAGCTATGAATTTCAGTGTGGTGATACCTGTATCAATTACACTTTGGTCTGCGATGGGAAATCTGACTGCCAAGATGGAATGGATGAAGGCAGATATTGTGCCATGCCATGCCAAAAATTGTGTGCTCACATTTGTTACAAGTCTCCTAGTGGGCCTGTAAGTAAAGACCAGCATTAGAATGTTGATGATGATACTGTTTAAAAATGGACATCATGTATATTTTAAACTAAATGTATTGTAGAAGCAAAACAATGGGTTAAGATCAAGGAGATTTGCTTCTTCCTAGGCTCTATTCTACAATTCTTTTAGAATAGGAAAAATAGATGGCCATTCCCAAATAATAATACAATATGGACTCATTGTTACTATTATAGCAACAGGCTTTGTCATCTTAAGCTAAAAAATTTTACAAGGATAGTGATTGTAGCCATGAGAAAATGAGAAAATACTTGGGAGTAGATTACCGGTATAACAGATTTGGACAAAGTATTATAAAATGCAGAGGCATCTTGCTGGCAACAAAGGTATATATATATATATATATATGATCAAGACAATAGTTTTCCCGGTTGTAATGTAAAAGTTACATTACAGTTTGATTGGCTGACTAAAGAAGTAATGCTTTCAAACTCTGGTTTTGGAGGCCATGTCTGAGAATAACCTGGATTGTGAGAACCAATAATCTAAAACTAGGAAAAAGAAAATAGATTGTTCATTGGAAGTGTTGGTAACTAAACTACAACTAAAATATTTTGAACAAGCAATACAAAGGCAAGAGTTGTTGAAGTCCCTGATATTTGGAAAAATGTGAGAAAGAAAAAGAGACCAGAAAAGCTTCAGGAGTTAAATTATCTTGTTGATGACCTAATCATAATTTGACAAGAACTCAAAGCAGTTACTGATAGATAATCCTGGTGAGATTATTACTCTTTAAGTCATAAAAGCAGCATCAAGCAATGCAAACAGACTGAAAGTGTGGAAAGGAGAGCCACAATGTAATCTTATAGTAGGGGTGTCCAACCTTGGCAACTTTAAGACATGTGGACTTCAACTCCCAGAATTCCCCCAGCCAATAAAATTAACATTGCCAAGGTTGGACACCCCTTCCTTAGAGCAGGAGGATAAATATAAATGCATTTGTAACTTTTGTAAAGAAAACTGGAAGCCACCTCTTTATATCTTTTGTTCTTTTTCTTTCTTTCCTTGGTCTTTCTTTCATTTCTATTATCACTTTCCCCTTTTTTTTCTTTAAACTTGAATTGTTTTACTTTGTAAAATAAATACAAAATAATTCTTTAGTAAAAAAAAAATTGGAAAAAAAAAACCCAATGCCTTTAAAAGTATTACTTAAGCACATACTTGCAAATTAAATCTCAATTTGTATTTGGACTCTGTGTTTCCAGCAGCAACCCTTGGAGTACAGAGTGAGGAGAAAGAGAAGTTGTGAAAATTTACATAAATAATAATGCCTGTTTTCTAATTTTCAGCAATGCGCTTGCAATGAGGGGTTCAACCTAAGAAGTGATGGGCACTCTTGCAAAGACATCAATGAATGCAAAGAGTTGGCAGTTGTTAAATGTGGCCAGACCTGTGTCAATACAGAAGGCAGTTACCACTGCACATGCCACCCTGGATATTTACTGGAGCCTGATAACCACACATGTAAAGTAATTGGTAAGATTCTTCCCATCCACTGATTGACTTTCCACTGATTATCTATATGATTCAAATTTAGTGAACGTGTAAACTTTTTTTGAAGTCAAATGTAACATAGAAAAGCTTTGCCTTCTGGGTAAGAAGCCTTGAAATAAGTTCCTTTGGCTTCGTACTATTAAGCTGGATGGATGTATTGAGAGGTATGAGAGCTGTTAGGTGAATAAGAAGGGTGCAAAAGCTTGGCTGGAGACTGGGTTTGAGACCCGAACACCACGCAATGGGGTGAGCTCCTGTTACTTGCCCCAGCTCCTGCCTATCTAGCAGTTTGAGAACATGACAATGCAAATAGATAAATAGGTACCACGTTGGTGGAAAGGTAACAGCATTCTGTGCACTACAGCATATAGTCATTCTGGCCACGTAACCATGGAAATGTCTTCAGATGACACTGACTCCCTTGGGTAAAAAATAGAGATGAGTACCGTCCCCTAGACTCTTGGACCCAACTGGACTGGGGGAACCTTTGCCTTTAGGTGGGCAAAGACTTCTAACTTCTTAGATCAGGGTTTCCCAAACTCTGTGGGTTCCTTTCCTTGGGAAGGTACCACATTCAGTCGAGGTCTAAAGAATATTTTAGTTATATTGTTACAATGTAACTAAATATAACTTTTTTCCAAAGTTTCACTGTATTGTTTCCCTTGTTCATTTGTGTTCATTTTGGTGCTTGGATTTTTAGGGGAGTGTATACATTAGGATTACACAAAAGGATGGTGTGATGGCAAAAGGATTAGGAACCCCTGATTGCCCTGTATGGGGATCTCATCCAACTAAAGGCGGCCTTCCCTGCTAAGATTGCAGCTATTGTGGTAGTTCAGGAAGAAAAATCTGACAAAGTTAAAAGAATGCATTCATAATGAAATACAAATACTTTGGGTAAAGTAAATAGTTGTTTAGTGTTTTGATTCTGCAACAAATCCTATTTGAATTTCCAAAACTCAAGCAGATTAACATATGTGCAAAACATTTTGAGTTTGAAATGTTCAAAACAGGCATCGATTCTAAGCTAGGAACAAAAATTTCTAGTATATTTGGATACTTAGGATACTCAGGTCTGTGTCATTTCATATCCTGCCCTAGGAAAATATAGAAACTTGGATCATGTTGCCATTTGTAATCCTAGGCCCATGATGGCGAATCTATGGCACACGTGCCAGAGGTGGCACGCAGAGCCCTCTCTGTAGGCATGTGCACCGTCACCAGCTGGTTTCCGGCATGCATTTTTGCGCGTGCCAGAGCCCCGGAAACCGGAAGACCAGCTTGGCCGGTGCACATGCGGGTGTTGTCTTCAGGTCTTCAGGTTTCCAGTGCTCCGGCACGCGCAAAAACTAGCTGGCATGTGCACATGGACACCGAAAACCTGAAGACCAGGTGCCTGGCGTGCGCATGCACACCAGCCAGCTAGTCTTTGAATTTCCGGGGCTCCAGTGGCCGCGCTGCGCACACCCATGCACGCACATTCCGGTTCGGGCACTTGGTGCCAAAAAGGTTCGCCATCACTGTCCTAGGCCCCAAATGATCTAACTTGCAGGAACATTAGCAAAAGCAATAACTTTTTCTATAACTCAGATCTCAGAGCAATGAGAATTAGCAGCCATTCTGCAGCCAGTAACAGGTTGGCACTAGGAACAATGCCCCTTCCCTGCAACTTTAGCAATTTCTTGGTAGGGCTGAATGGCAAGTAGCATTCAGCATGAAATGACTTTAGAAGCCTTCTGGAGAAAACCTGAGAGGCAAAGAATTAAGTTTGAATAGTTCCCTAGAGCAAAATAGTATCTTAAGCAGAAGACAAGCCTGAATTTAAGAGAGGTGAGGTTTTCCATAAAATAAAAAGTCAACCGAAAACAAACAAAAGTCATGGGAGTTGCCCAGTTTTCCCATGTTTTTATTTTTTAGGATTGCCTCGTCAGACTAATCATCAAAGGTATCCACCATTTTTCAAGAATGATGTTGGAAGTCTTCCATTATTTGGTTAATAGCCTCTGTTCTTATCAGCAAAAACAAGGCAACCCACCATCTGGCCTGTAGTGGAATATTTTGAAGTTTGTCTCAAATGGTTTTGGAATCTTTCTGTTTTGTGTGTATATTTGTTGTGTCTAAATTTGAGTGTAGTGTTAAATAATAGAAAACAAAGAATAGAGTGGAAGAATGAACATCATCGCTCATTAAAAGGTGACTTGTTAAAGCATTTCCTACCTCTTCTCCCTTAACTTACATAGTTGGGAGGTTGCAATTTATACGTATTTTGCATGGAAAGTAACTAGTTTTGTCTTTGCCATAGGTTCCGAGCCATCACTGCTAGTTGCAGTTCAGTTTGACTTACTCGTATTCGGATTAAGGACCATGAAGGAGGATGTTATCTTGAGAGTTGATCATGATGTCATTATCTTTTCCATTGACTACGATTTTGTATCACAGACAGTCTTTTGGATGAATCTCAATGCAGAAAGTATTAAGTGGATTGATATGAAAACCAAGGAAAAGGGAACTCTAATAAAAGGTGGGCCTTAATATATTTTCAGATGTTTGGACAGTTTTTTAAAAAATTAGTGGCTTAGGACAAAACTAATTTTTATTGTAACTTTGGCAAGTTAAACTATTGGTAGAACTCATATTTGACTGCTGAAGCTGACTCGCACTCTCACATGCTTAGGAAGCTTCACAGGTTCACCCGAGACAAGGTGAAATTCAAATCCACTTATATTGAAAAGGAAAAAGCTAAGGAAAAATTGAGTGCTTGTATTTCTAAACTGATACTTTTAATAGTATAACAAAATAACTTTGAGAAACAGCAATGCCAGGTGGGTTCAGAGATCTAATCCTGTCTACAAGTTTTAGCTGATAAACTGAAGGAAAGATTTCATCAAGTTTCTCTGGGAAGAAAACATACAAGTTGACAAAGTCTCATATTACAGATGAGGTTATCCTACTAAAGTCCCTCATGAATGGCAAAGGAAGATTATGTGTCACCTGGGACAATTACTCAGAAGGCCAAGAATCCCTTGCCGTAGAATGGGTGATGGTTGAAATCTGCAGCTTCTAATCTATAAATATAAAGGCTCCTCCAGTGTACACTAATATAGAGGACAGTAACAGCAGAGCTGGCCCCTAAAAAAGCATCCTTTTATGAGTATTGGTCATAAAGTAAGAGTATTTTTGAGAATTGCCTAAGAAGATGGATTTCAAGCACTGTTAACAATGAACAGTCCTACCTGGAGCTAAGTTGTAACTGTTCAGCCTTAAACTAGAGGTACTCTGCTTGAAAACCTCTGAACAGGATGTCTTTTCTCTTATATGGCTATTTAAAAAATAATTTGCAATGAAATTCTGCTTTGTAATTACTTACTAAATAGGAGATGTTGGCTGATATTTCCTGTTCAAACATTTTTAAATCTTAGCTATTTATCACCAGAGATCGGCAGATAAAAGCAAAAATATATTTGCTTATTTTGAAAGTTGGAATACATGCTAATTAATTTTTTTTAAAAAAAATTATTTTTTGGCACTGAGATCCTACCTTTTGTGATAGATTGGAAACTTGTGTAGATTCATTTCTGTTATTTCAAACATCTGATTACAGGCATCAAATCTGACAGTATAGCAGTGGACTGGTTAGGAAGGAATCTTTACTGGACTGATGGTACCTCGGGACAGATCTTGGCTACATGGTTAAATAGCACTTGGAAGGGAAATCCTGTCTATACGGTGGTTCTTGAGGATCTGGAGCAACCACGGTCATTAGCTCTCCACCCACTGGATAGGTAAGCCTTTTATATTTTGCTTGTGCAAAGTTTGGGCTTGTCGGAATGGTTCAAAAGAATTAGAAATAGATCTCAGAAATGAGTTGGATAAGTGAGTCCGTCCACAATGATCTACTTTTATTAAGTCACTAATGTTGTCTTTTTAGGGAAGATATTTCAGAGGGTGGAAACATTGTCTGGGTTCATGTTGATGTGTGGTCAGGTCTATCCAATTGTGTGATTGAATCATAATTGATAAGGCAAATGGATATTTTTAGAGAGAAGAAACTAGGAGTACAGCTCTATTGATTCTGCTTGATTTATTCATTATTTATTAAATTTATATGCTGCCCATTTCACTTTGCAAAGCAATTCTGGGCAATTTACAATAAAAGTGATAAATATTCAAATATTAACCACAGTAGATACAAAATTTAAAAACCAAAGGCAAGATTGTTCACAGATTTTGATGTTCTGATCATGAAATTTATTTGGCCTGCTATGTAACAGTTGTTCTACTGCCTATTCTACTGCCTATGGGGCGCAGTCTATTAGGATGCAAAATAATAAATAAAATTTTAATACTATTTAAATGCAAATGAAATGGCCCACATGGTAGATTCAAAATGTTATATAGAGTGGAATAGGTGGTATGATTGGGTAACTCACAAAAATGAGAGTAAATGAAAAATTTTGTATGATAATAATAATTAACAAATATGCACCGTTAATAAGATAATGGACATGTGACCAAAGTTACTTTTTCTTTTTATGTATTGTCGTTTGTATTAATATATATGTAACTTGTATATACATAATATAGTATTTTACTTTTATATGTTTAATAAAGTTTTGTTTTTAAAACCAAAAAAGAAATGGCCCACATGGTCTGAATGGTTAGGCTTAGACCCCAGATGTATTAAACTTTAACAAAGTAGTCCCACCCTCCCTCAAGCTCCATGCTTAATGGGAGCTAAGGTATATGATGCCATAATTGTGCTGAAACTGTAGATCTGATGCATGACTGCATAGAAAGATAGTGGTGATCTAACTTCAAATTCCAAAGAATTTGGATTCAAATGAAGAGACATTAGCTAAAAGAATTCTGAGGCTAATATTCCTTCAAATTGAAATAATCTGAGACCTTGTCTGGTACCCTAAAGAAGATATACAATGAAGGCCATCTAACTTGATGGTCAATAATAAAGCACTGTAAGCCATAGTGATTTGAATTCCATTCTATGAAAATATATAATGTCATCTTCTCTTTCCTAGATTTATGTATTGGTGTGAAATAAGCGTTGAATCCAAAATCAAAAAAGCAGGGATGGATGGAAGTAATAAAGAAGTGCTAATTGATGATGGAATTGGTTGGCCCACAAGCATAGCCATTGACTTCTTGAGCTGGAGAATTTTCTGGTCTGATGACAAGTTTCACTCCATTGGTTCAGCCTTTTTGGATGGTAGCAATATGAAGGTATTGCCTACTGTACATAAACTTGACTAAGCTGGAAGCAGGCAAGAATTTATTTGAGTTGCTTGTTTTACAGGAAAGAGTAATTTCTGATAATGTTCTGATAAGAGTAAGAGTAATCTTACTCTTCTCTTGGTAGCATTCTATGTTGTTTCAGAATTCCATATCTAACCAGAGCTGTGGAAATAAATGTGGGAATGTGTCTGACTTCCAGATCTTTTTATTTGTCTGAAAATAAGATCTCAGTCCCTGAGCTGTGATGCATCTCTTAACAACAATATTTTTCTCTCAGATTTTTCAGCTGGATGAGATACATAGTCCCTTCTCAGTGAGTATCTTTGAAGACTACGTCTATTGGTCTGACATGCAAACAAGGATAGTACAGAAGATAGACAAAAGGACAGCCAAAAATAGAACAGTTCTCCTAAAGAGTCATGGACAACCATATGGACTAAAGGTATCACATAAATAGTACACATTGTGGAAAGGTTGATCACTGGAGCAAGTGCCTGTTTTTATTTTACTTTGCCAAGGGGATGTTTCTAGCTTGGAATAAATAAATGTTAAGGCAAGTTTATTTGCCCTGAATCTTCAAATATTAGCATCTCTATGAGCCAAGCCTCATATTTTGTCAGACTAAGGCTGCATCAATACTGATCAGTATTGTAACTGATAATAGAATTTTGACCAAGAATAAAGCATTTATAGGAAATACTACTGTTGGTCATAGCATAATTTGTTTGGAATGGGACAACTCAACACAGCCATCTTATCACTGCCAACTCTCCATGGCCAACTCACTGTAGCCAACTGACCATGGCCAACTTGCTGTGGGATAATTCACCACGGCCAACTTGCCACAGGACAACTCGCCTCGAGACAATTTAACAATTCAATTTAATTATTAAAAATAAATAAAAATTATTTTAAATTTTGTCATTCACATTTCATTTTGTTCCTCCTTTTGCATCTGTTCTTTATTATATTCCACCATTTCGTTGATATTAGCATAATTCATGTTCTGCAGCAAGTTGTCCCACAGTGATTTGGCCATGACGAATTGTTTTGTGATGAGTTGGTCGTGGCAAGTTGGCCATGGCGATTTGTCATAGATAGATCCTAATTTGTTGTCCTAATTGAAAGTCAGAAGAAAACTACCTCTAAGCTGTACTTTAAGGAAAAAAGCCTTACACACCTCCTTTATTCTAGCAGAAGTTCCTGACTTAGATATTTCTTGCTAAGCTAGTTGCCCTAAAAATATTACAATAATTCCAAACTTAGGGGTTTTTGCAGGAGGCCTGGCTTTCTAAAATAAGGTTTATCTGGTAATAGTAAGGAATAATGCAAGGTATATTCATACACAAGCAGCGGCAATAAGATGGCAAGCAATGTACGGAGGCTGGCAAGAAGGGAAGACTGGTTGCACAATATAGTTGGCAAAGGTTATTGCGATGATAGCCTGGCTGGTTAGTTCAATGATCAACAGTAATGTCCACAGAGGTATAAAGGCAATGAAGCCTCCAAAGGCCTCTAAGATATATGCAAGAAAGGTCATAAAATGGGGCAAAATTCAGTTAACAAATGTCTCACTTAGCAACAAAAATTTTGGACTCAATTGTGGTTGTAAGACAAGGACTGCCTGTATTTCTAAAATGAACGGGACCTTTCATAGATCTTACATTCTTTCATTCAACCCTTTTTATTTCAGAAATTTCTCCTCTATTAATATAATTGGTTTATTTCTTTTGCTCAATCTCCCTTCGTAGGGATAAATGGCAGGGGGGAGTTGGTTGATATTGAACATTAAGAAGGTAAAGGTAATGTCAACCAGTATGCTTATAGTGATCATACACTTGATGGCAGGCAAAGAAGTGAAGATGATAACATTGTTTTGTTTTCTTGGACTCATAAAGATGGTAGAAAAAAAGACTATGGCAAAGTTATATAAAATCGTGAAGAATAAGGATATTTGAACGATATTGCTTGGCCTTTTAAAAAAAATCTTTGTTATCAATGGTCTTTCCTGTGGTGATGTATGGCTCTGAAAATTGAAAGATGAGAAAGAAAATGCCGTATTTTTTGGCGTATAAGACGCACCTTTTTCCTCCAAAAAAGAGGGTGAAAATCTGGGTGCATCTTATACTCCGAATGTAGCCCTGCCCAGCTTCTCAAATGGAGGTTTCAGAGGCTGAAAAAAGCATCAGAAGTAGAGCTTCAGAAAAAAATCCCCCAAGCAGAGCTTCAGAAAAGAAGCCCCCAAACAGAGCTTCAGAGGCTTTTTTTGTGAAGCTGTTTTAGAGGCTTTCAGAGGCAGGAAAAAAAGTTTTTTCTGAAACAGTTTCAGAAGTTTCAGAGGCAGAAAAAAAAGAAAAGCACAGAGCTCACAACCAAGGAACCTGTTGCTAAAATTCACCTCTGGAAACAGCTGATTGGGGGTATTCAGAGAAATTGATCCACCTGCCAATCAGCTTTTTTCTTAGTTTCCTCCCCAAAAAACTAAGGTGTGTCTTATACTCCGGTGCATCTTACACTCTGAAAAATGCAGTAGTAACATACCAGTTATAGATTTGGAGACAGATCTAAGAGTCCTATCAACTGAAAGAAAACACAGTCAGTCATAAAGTAGATTGACTGCTTTTTTGAAACACTCAGATTTTTGCCATGTTGATACAAGTGGACGGTGGATGAAAATAATGGAATATAGTATACACAATGTGCATTCCTTTAATCATTTTTGAGGAGGAACATACAAAGTGCATAATAGAGATGCCCTGAAACTCCTAGTGTAACATTCTCACGCTCTTGAAATTTGGCTTTTAGGTGATGCATGAAGTTCTGCAGCCAGCAGCCTCTAATCCATGTGTAGAAGTTGGATGTTCGTATTTGTGTCTCTTAAGCCCCAGCAAAAGAGGAAGCTGCCACTGCCCACTTGAATTTGTGCTATCAAGTGATGGAAAGACCTGCATTCCATTAAAGGAGTCAGCATTCATGTTACTGGTTGCCCAGACAGATGTTACCCAGGTATTGCTTTCAACTGGATAGTAATGAGAATAAGGTAGCTGCAAACCAAGTTGCCCAAATGAAATGTTCTTACAGCTGTTTAATTGGGTGGCACAGCAAAGTGGCTTCCATCAGAATTTTTCTTAGTAACAAGTAAATGCTGTTGACTGCATGTTAATTTTTACAGAGCTCTCCTGAGAACCCCCACAAACATATACCTTTCTCAAAAAGAGTGACTCAGTCAAAAGTTAGCCACTTTTTTTAAACATCTTATTGAAATACTGTTGGAAAGTGATACTTTACCCCTTGTAGTCAAGTGTTACAGAGATAAATGGAAGCTGTTGTAGAGTATTTTCATTTAGCATCGCACAAGGTAGCAAAAGCTGTATGGGCTTCAGCAGTCCTAGGCTTCTGTTATGATAGAATTGTCTTAGAGCAGATTGCTGAATGCAGATAGCTCCTTGTAAACTGAAAATATAACAATGTTGTTTCTAATATTGAACTCTAGGTCTACCTGAAAAAACTGCGTTCCACAGCTGGGCAGATAGCTCTTCCTGAGCACAGCACTCTCCCCTTGACTAATGTAACTCACCTGATGGCTGTAGACTACTCTGTACGCAGTGCTGCTTTGTACTTCTCAGACTTAAATGACGACTTCATAAAAGTCCTGGCTATTAAAGATGCTGGAAGAGCCTCTTTGAAGAAGATTCTGCCAGTTGAGGGCACTGTGATATCACTTGCACTTGATTGGCTAAGTGCCAACATCTATTGGATTGACAATAAATATTCAGCTGTCCAAGTGGCAGCATCAGAAGGCAAATATAGGCATGTGGTACTTAGTGATGGTCTGTACAACCCAACCACTGTGGTGGTGCATCCCCCAACTGCATCCATGTGCATTGTGGATTTAGGCGGTGAACATGGCATACCCGATCCCACGATAGAATGTGCTGCTATGGATGGGAGTAGGCGGAGAATACTCTGGAAGAGATCCCTGATTCCTGTTGGTTTAACAATAGTGGATTCTGGCACTTGGCTCTATTGGGCTGATCAAGGTAAGCAGTCTAATGTGTTGATCAAATTCTCTGGGTTCAGCTTATTTTCCTAGCATATGAAAAAACTGGTCATACTCCTAGACTAGTATATGTTCTTCTTTTTTAATAGTAATTTTATTAAGAATTATAATTACAATAGTAAAAACTAATACAAACAGCAAAAACCCCTAAAGAAAAGGGAGAAAGGAAAATAATAGAGAAATAGAAAATAAAAATGCAATAAAGAAGATAAATATAAAAAACTACTTCTCACATTCCTCACAATTTAAGTAACTTATCCCCTTCTTTTAAAATGCAACAAATGATGTCTTCTTCCGATATCCTATCTCTTTTTATCTATAAAACAAATCCATAAAAAACCCTCATAATTTCAGTCCTGTTTCAAGAAAAGTCCTTAAAGGATTACCAGAGATAACAGGATATCTATTTTATTTTGATCAAATGTCTTGTGCAATTCCTTTTTCATATTGTATTACCGTACATTTCTGACTAGGCTCTGTTTCCTATAGCAAAAGGTTCTGTGGAAAGCATTCGTCTAGATGGCTCTGGGCACAGACTCATTCGGAGAGGAATACATGGCCTTACGCTCTTCACAATAGGGGATGGAAAGATGTTCTGGACAACAGCAGCACGCAATCGTAAGCAGGCTTGAATTATAGAAACCCTATAGGACAGTGAAGACTAACCTTTTTGCTGTCGGGGGCCCAAAGCAGAGTGAGCGCGGGGGAATTGTGCGCGTGTGCCCACAATCATAATTCAATGTGCCCCGCACATGCACGCGTAACCCCCCCCATGCTCCCACCACTTTTGGCATGCAATGGCATGGTGGGCCCAGTAGGCCCATTTTTTTGCTCTCCCCAGGCTCCAGAGCCTTTCTAGGAGCCTGGGGAGGGCGAAAACAGCCTTCCTCACACACCCCCGGAGGCCCTCCGGAGACCAGAAATGGCCTCTTTGCTGACTTCCAGTGGGACCAGAAGGCCTGAAAATCAGATGGTCAGCACGCACATGCGCACCATAGTTGAGCTAGGGCAATGCTCACATGCCCACTGATATGGCTCCGCGTGCCACCTGTGGCACGCATGCCATAGGTTCGCCATCATGGGTATAGGACATTCCCAAGGAAAGGGGAAGTGCTGTGTCCCAGATAGCAATAGCACTTAAGACTTATTATACCGCTTCACAGTGCTTTACAGCCCTCTGTAAGCGGTTTACAGAGTCAGCATATTGCCCCCAATAATCTGGGTCCTCATTTTACCACCTCGGAAGGATGGAAGGCTGAGTCAACCTTGAGCCTGGTGAGATTCAAACTGCCAAATTGTAGGCAGCTGGCAGTCAGCATAAGTAGTCTGCAGTACTGCACTCTAACCACTGTGCCACTGCGGCTCAATCATAATATATTAAGCAGTGTGTCGCTTGGGTCATTTACTTGACTCAGAATAATGACATGACATATAGAATCAAGGGAACCAGATGTCAGGTTTTTATGTGAATACTTGCAGAAAAAATACTTTATAAAATCAGATTGAAAACTTGCCTCCAACTATATTAATATATTATTGGCAAGTGTTCATGCAGTGTTCAGTCTAGTTATTAGACTATTATAATCTATTATGATACAGGTAGTCCTAAACTTACAGCAGTTAGTTTAGTGACCATTCAAGCTACGACGACATTGAAAAACGTGACTTATGACCGTTTTTCACACTTACAATTGTTGCAGCATCCTTGTGGTCACATGATCAAAATGTAGCTGCTCCTTGGCAACTGACTTATTTTTGGGATGGTTGCAGTGTCCCAGGGTCATGTGATCAGCTTTCATGACCTTCTGACAAGCAAAGTCAATGGAGAAGCCAGGAAGTTAGTAACTGCGTTACTCACTTAACAACTGCAGTGATTCACTCAACAACTGTGGCAAGAAAGGTGATAAAATGGGGCAAAAATCACTTAAGAATTGTCTCACCTAATAGAAATTTTGGATTCAATTGTGGTTGTAAGTCAAGCACTACCTGTATTGTATCCCAACTGGCTCAGAAATTAACAGATTCCAATCAGATAATAATACTAGTGTTATGTAGTATCTTGTAAATCGATAACGATACTCTGTGCAGCAGTAAAATATTTTCTCTGATCTGATTAACTTTATTCCTAACAGATGCAATAAAGGTGTGGCATAGTCAGCTGGACACAGTAGAAAACTGGTGGTTTCAAACAAATCTGAAACTTGTGGATATAAAGATCTACAGCAAACTATACCAACAAGGTAAAGTTCATTATAACTTTGAGAAGTCATGGGACAGGGATGTCAAACGCAAGGCTCGGGGCCCAGATCTGGCCCGTGGGGCCACCCTGGAAACAGCATTTTTCTGGCAGAGTGTTGCAGGAGGCCACGGCAGCCAAAAACAGACCCCGGGAGACTGTTTTTGCTGGCAGAGCACTCAGGCCACCAGAGGTGCCCCCAATATGAGTGATGTCAAGCTGGCCACGCTCACCCTGGCCACGCCCACTCCAGCCCCCCAGGGTCAAACACAACTCTGATGCAGCCCTCAATGAAATCGAGTTTGACACCCCTGTCATGGGATATCTGGACTTCATTGAACAATAACATTCTTTGGTATCTTTTTGGTAAAGCAAAAATTTTAAGTTTTAAGCACACAAAAAGTGGGATGTTCTCTAAGCATCAATCCTGAACAAGGATGTGAACGTCATTGTTTTTACTGAGAACCTCTCTCTCCCTTAGGCATAGGCTAAGTGAGACCCTTCTGGAAAAAATAGCGTCTGGAAAAATAGTATCTGTCATATATTGACTTGTTCCAGCTGTTGAAATTGGTGAGATGGTCCAAGTCAACTTCTCAAGTCAATAGCATGCCAGCCAGGTTGCCAAGTAAATGCTTCCTTACTTTACCATATTATGCATGGGAAATAGAACTGAAGCAATTATTTTTTGTCTTGTGGTTTCTAGGTAGAAATGGTTGTTCGGAAAAGCATGGGGGATGCAGTCAGATCTGTTTACCAAATCCACAAGGCCGAAGTTGCTGGTGCACCACGGGGTACATTTTAGAACGCGATACTGTGTGCATCAAAGCCGTGATATGCTCAGAGCCTTTTCAAGCCTGCTCGGATAACAGCAAATGCATTGTAAAAGAACAAGTCTGTGATGGAAATCTTGATTGTCATGATGGATCTGATGAGTTGAATTGTAAGTATGAAAACCTGTATTTAAATAATCAGAGATGAATGCTTGGGAAATAGCTCATTAACACCCGAAGGATGGATAGCTGTTAAAATGGATTTTTGCTAAATGTTAAACCCAATTGTTTATTTAACACAAATGCTTTTTATAAACTTCTGAATGTTGGATATGCTGATTGCATTTACTGAAATAAGGTGCTTTCCTAGTACAAACAAATGCTACCCTCAGCTCTAGATTCATAATTTAAGCAGCCTTATGCGTATCCACATTAACATTTTTGAAATCATAGTTCACAAGACCTTTTTTCTTCTTTTTTTAAAAAAAGGTTTAAGTTATCTAAACCATCAGTCTTAATAATTTATACAATATTTCTATAATGTAGCACCTGCTACATTTATGATATAATGAAACAGTATTTTAAAATTAAAAGCAAGAGAAGGATATTCACGTTAGAAGGCTGCACTTACTATAAGATGTGGTTTGTAAATAAATGGCTATTTCATAAAATAGCCTGCTTTAATTCAGTGCCCATTTCAAAGTAAGATTCACACATCCTATGACTAGCTTGGGGAAACAACAAATGACTGTAGTTTCTACATAGCAATGGTTACTCAGAAACTAAGAGGGGATTAGTGCATCAGATTTTTAAATCTCCCATCAAACTTCCCAGTTCAAGTTGCTTTGTTTTGTTTTGGTATCAAATGACTGAAATAGTATGTTAGTTAAATCTAACATATTGTGACATGTTTAAATTACATAATCATTTTTGTTCTTCCTGGAAATTGTAGCCACATAAACAAGGGATTAACATTTCCCAACATTCAGCATCATATTTTAAAATGCAGTTCTCTGCAATTCTTTCAGAAAGCAGTAGAGTGATGCAAATATAATATGAATAAAGGGATCAAATCAAAATCAGATCATTTTTTTTACCGCCCTGGACCAGCACAGAAGAAAACCAAACAGAACAAGGCATAGAAATATGTTACTGTTGATGGTGAAATCAATGGGTGATCAAAGTCTGCCTAATTTTACAAACAGTATAACAAAATTTAGCTACATTCAGTGAAACTCAATCTTATTAATCCAACAATAACAGTTTTACATAAAAATGATCAGAGTTTCCTGGATATTTAGTCAGGTAAGGTGTTATGAGTCTGTGAGTCTCTATAGAAGGGGCAATAAAGGGAATAAGGGAAAATAAACTTCAGTGAAAGGTGATCACATCTGAACTGGGGGTCAGTCTGCCAGGTTAGCTGAAATGCAAGCATTACCCATTTTTAAAGGTTATCTGTATGCTACCTTTCATCTTATTTATCAGACAAGGAAGGTGTGATGGCTTAGCTTTTATTCATTTAAATTTAGGTGCCTCCTGACCCTCAAACTAACTATAGGCAGCTCACAATCTAAAAATAATAAAAACTCAATGCAGAACAAAACAAGATGGGATTCAGTTGCTCAGTAAAAAAATATAGATAAAAACATATCCAACAAGGGGTTCCATCCACCTTAACCAAATGCCTTCGAGAAGAACCAGATCTTCAGCACCTTACAGTACATCAAACGGGGTAGGAGCCAACAGGTTTCAGGTGGGATCTTGTTCCAGAGAGCAGGCACAATAACAAGAAGGCACATTTCCTGGGCCCAGTAGGTGGCACTGTTTAATTGAAAGAACCCTGAGCATGCTGCCTTAGCTAGTATGTACCATCTAAGCAAAAACCATGAAGGATAGGGCAGTCCTTCCACTAACCTGGATCTGTCCCAATGCCCTACACCTAACTTTTGAGTAGACATTGTAGGTTTTTTTTTGGGGGGGGGGGAATCCAGTTTGCTTGCAGTTACTCTTTTTGTTAAGAACCTCTGGCCAGCTGCAAAACATTCAACCTTGACTCCTGTATTCAGAAATGATGTATGTAAATCAGGGATGAAATCCAGCAGGTTCTGGAGAACAAGTAGCGGAAATTTTGAGCAGTTCAGAGAACCAGCAAATACCACCTCTAGCTGGCCCCAGAGTGGGTGGGAATGGAGTTTTGCAATATTCTTCCCCCTGTTGTGGGGTTGGAATGGAGATTTTGCAGTATCCTTCCCCTGCCATGCCCACCAAGCCACACCACACCCACCAAGCCATGCCCACAGAACCGGTAGTAAAAAAATTTGTATTTCACCACTGATGTAAATGATGTTCTCTACTTACAGGTCACTACATTGTCAATAAACCCCAAGCAATAACTCCATCTCGGACAACACTGATGCAAACAAAGCCATTTTATGAAAAGAAAACTCTGGCACCCATCAAAATCACCACAAAGAAACCTGTCACTAAAAAGATGCACGTGCAACCACAGACAAAATACAAGAGTACTACTGTTACTGTCTTTAAAAGTACAACTTCTACCACTACGCAGATCCCTCCTCCAAGAAGAGGACAAAAACCTACACGCCCTGAAGTGGGGAAATGGCAAAATCCCTCTCTAGTGCAGGGGGTCAAACAAAGTGACTTAGGGTCGCATGCTTGTAACACTGAGACCTGTAACATGAGAGGAGACTGTACTGTGGAAAACCATAGAATAAAGTGCAATTGCATGCTGGGATATAGTGGTGACCATTGCGAAAAAGAAGAACCGAAGTCTACAGCTGGTTCCATTGTTTTGAGTATCATTACTGTCTTACTACTTGTTATGGGAGCTGCAGGGATCTTTATCTACTTTAGGAGGCAAAGATCACGTCTAAGGTAAGTTTGATTGTCCTCTTTCCTTCTTTCAAATTAACCCATATTCAGTGGTGAAAATAGGCGAATGCAATACATTTCTCTGCTACCTGATCAATAATAAAATTAGTGTCTGCTTTTCTGTATTTCCTATTTGAAGGACTAACATTTTGGAATTAACAACAATTGGTGTCAGGGTTCCAAGTAACACCCCGCAACCAATGAAAACTCCAAGGCCAGCAGTTCCTCAAAGTTCCATTTTATTAGAGATGTCATACTGGCACATCTGGGAAAACCCGAATCTGAAAGCTCCCGGGTTTTCCCCACCCAAAGGAAAGTCTAAGTCCCTTCCCCTGCACCCACGTTTCCATCACATGGTCCAATCAATCCACTATCCCAACTGGAGATGCCTCCCAGTCACACCACTCCAGGTGCAGGCTGAACGTCCTTGACTCCCAGAGAAAAGAATGTTGTTATGGCTAAATACTTCTACCAGCTCCATGCAAACCCCCCTCCCAGTTTCCCACAAACTGAGTGTGGCAGTCCTGAAGATCCAAAAGAAAAGATGGCCTCCAGGGCTGACAATTGGTGTTTAATATTAGAGTGTAATTCTACTAACCGTAGCTTTCTCACTCTCTTTTTATAATTCTATACATGCTTACTGTGTTTATATTGCACTTTTTCTGCAAGGAATTTGGGATGGGTGGCATTTAAAATAAATTGTACTACCTTGCTGTATTAGTCAAGCAAATCCTGCCTGATAAGATTCTTCATATGTGCTACCAATTGCATCTTTAGCCGTACTTAAGTAGATATTCATCTAGTTAGGACTGCATTTGCTGCTAGAAAGTATGAAGCTATAAGCTTGGAGGTAGGCCACCCAGTAGACGGAAGGTTATACAAACATTATGAAGGCTAAATAGGCATGAAATTGTCTGTTGAAAGTCTTAAATGCTATCTAATTCAAAACCCAGTCCTATCCAGTCAGTATACCTGCTGAATTCTATTTTCAGGTGACTGTTAACCTATGACAATAAACATTTAGTTTCATGTTGAATATGATCTATGTAGCTGAGGGGACTATAGGAGGCAAGGTTTTTCTGTGGTATCTCCCCCTGAGATTCAACAGGGCCCAACCTTGTTAGATTTTAAAGTCCTGACTGTTCACTCGGATCCAAGATTTTAGCTGAGTTTGTCCTAGGAGGTGTTGCCTATGTTGCAGGGGTGAAATCCAGCAGGTTCTGACAGGTTCTGGAGAACTGATAATGGAAATTTTGAGCAGTTTGGAGAACCGGCAAATACCACCTCTGGCTGGCCCCAGAGGGGGGTGGGAATGGAGATTTTGCAATATCCTTCCCCCAGGAATGGGAGGGAATGGGGATTTTGCAGTATCCTTCCCCTGGAGTGGGGTGGGAATGGAGATTTTGCAGTATCCTTCTCCTGCCATGCCCACCAAGCCACGCCCACAGAACCGGTAGTAAAAAAAATTGGATTTCCCTACTGCTATGTTGGTGTGCCTCAACTGTGTGTTTTGCTGTTCTTGATCTTTGGTTATTTTTGTTATTGTAGACATTGTATGTCACAGAGTATTGACCTATGTCTAGGACTATGAAGTTGTCTTGAAATAAAAAACAACTATGTTGGCAGGTGCCAACATGACATTAGAAAGGAAATGTGGTAATAGAACTGATACTAATGTAAAATTACAACTCTGGAAAAAAAAATCTGGCATTTAAACTGTTGCTCACATTAGAATTCTGTCTCTCTTTCTCAAAGAGCATCAAGTACAGGGTCCGATAAAACATTGGCCATCTACCAGAAGGATAACCAACCAGAAGGAGACAGCTTTGTTGAAGATGAAACGTGCATCAATGCAGCTTATGACCCAGGCCAGGTAACAGCCTTCTAGTAACATTTTAAAGTCGTATTTCAGTCCCAAACACATACACTTGGTGGCTTTCTCTATAATCTTGAATGAATGATAGCCCCTTTATATTTAAGTATAATTTAAATATAAAGGATATTTAAACTGTGTGCAGTTGTTTTGAGTTGAAAAGTTTTAGAATCACAACCTCTCTTTCTCCTAGAGAAATTGATTTTGAGACTGATTAAAGGATAGTTTGCCACTTAAATTAACTGCATCTTATTTTGCAGAGTTGACAGAGTTTCTCTATAGATTATACGTGATTGGAGAACTCAAAGAGAGCACGCAAACACATACATGCATGCAAATACATGGAAACACATACACTGCAGGATCTCGCCAAATGAAAACGAATCTAAAGATGCAAAGAATGTAATATAAAATGTTGAATCTTGATTTTTTTTTTTAAAACAGGAAATGTCAACTCCTCTGAAGACAAGCACAAGCACAGATTTGTAAGAAAAATGAACTATGTTAACTATAAACCTCATGCTGTATTCTCCAGCTGGAAACCAGGGATGATTATGCAGAATTACAGAATGGGAATTTCTCAATGTCGTATTTATTATATTAACAGTCAGTCTTTTAATGTTCATTTTAAATAGCATTTTAAAAGCTATTTAAGTAGCATTTTAAAAGCCAGCTGAAAGTAGCAAACATGGAGAGATTCCGCTGATAGCATGAGTTAGATTCCAGTTTTACAGTGGTGTGGAGACCCAGTGAAATGAACTGCAATCACTTCTAGAGGCCAAACGGGATAGCTGGATCCAGTACTCAACTAGCAGCAGTTATGAAATTGACAAGCTGTATAGTACTATGTTTAGAGTCATATACCAGCTTTGCAAATGAAGAATAATATATGCTTGTATGAAAAAGCAAATACACAATAAAAACTTTGGCTCAAACAACTTTAAGTTCCTACAAGAATTCAGCCCTTTGAATAATATGATTTGTATCCCAGACTTACTAAACTTTACTAATCCCTCCGTCACAGGCTTTTATGAATTCATGAGTTTAGATGCAAGACACAATGCAAAACATCTCTCGTGGGTTTTCCCTTTCATTAATTTAATTTTAATTTAATTTAATTAATTCAATTTATATACCGCCCCTCTCCGAAGACTCAGGGCAGCTCACAATACATTTTTAAAAATCATTATAAAAAACATTTAAAAATTAAAAACATTAAAAACTCATTCACGCCATTCATGGCCGGATCTCGCCAGATCATAAGAGCGAGATCAACGGCCCCAGGCCTGCCGGAAAAGCCAGGTCTTCACCGCTTTTCGGAAGGCCAATAGGGTGGGGATGGTCTGGATCTCAGGAGGTCACTGGTTCCAGAGAGCTGGTGCAGCCACAGAGAAGGCCCTCCCCCGCGGGCCCGCCAACCGGCATTGTTTAGCTGACGGGACCCGGAGGAGACCAACTCTGTGGGATCTTACCGGTCGCTGGGAGCTATGCGGAAGGCAGTCTCGAAGATAATATCAAATAGCATTTCCTTTCATTTTTGCAGGTGTATTTCTTGGAAAGATGTATATTTACACTGGTCGCTACTTTCCATTCTCGATTAATGACTTACTGTGGCTAAAGTGGAAAATTCTTTGAAAAATTCCATTTTCCCTCTACTGAACATTTTGCAGCATAGACTTTTTTTCCTGCCTGTATGTAATCTGTTGACTACCATGTTTCTAACATCTCTATTTAGAGATAAGAAGACTAAATATACTGGCCAGCATATCCCCTCCCTCCCTCTCTCTCTCTCTCTCTCCCTCCCTCTCTCTCTCTCTCTCTCTCTCTCTCCGCGTGTGTGCTTGTGTGTGTGCTTGTGTGTGTAGCTGAAACAACACTTTAGGATTTAGCAGAGGTACTGGTCTACCAGGCTTTTAACTGCTTGCAGAGCTGTACCGGTTTACCCATTTATTTTTGCAGGCACTGGTCTACTCATGTATTTTTGCAGGCACTGGTCTACCCATTTATTTTTGCAGGCACCGGTCTACTCATTTGTTTTTGTAGGCACCGGTCTACCACCAAACTGCCTTTTACCACTGATCAGCTGTAGGGCGGCCCTTTGAAGCCCCACAGCAAGAGTTTAAACAGTTTTTCCTTATAGCCCATCAGCTGGGACTCAGGAGGCAGCAATAAATTGGGGGTGGGGCCAAATAAAAGGTAAGAATAATGTGGGGGGGCGGGGGAGCAGAACCGGTTCGGTGACATCATATCGTCACCGCTACCAACTCGGCGGAACTGGGAGGAACCCACGACTGATGTCCATGTATTGATTTTCTTCCTAAGTAGCGCTCCTTCTTGACCATGAATGAATAGGTTAGAATTGTTACTATTTTACACTGAGACGGGGGGGGGGGGCTTCACATAAGATAACAACCAGTTCACCTAAGTGCAGAACTGAAAATGTGAGCGTGCGCGGCTTCAAACATACGGCAATTTCATGCGCGTGGCTTCCAGGACACCTTCTTGGGCAGCCGCAGTGAGTACAGCAGGTGAGGCACTGGAATCAGCTGGGCTGCGTGGTCAGGGCGAGCGAGTGAGCCAGAGAGTGAGATATATAGGATGGGACAGAGTTGGGGTGGGTGGGCAGGCCCAACCAGTGGTGGGAACTACCAGTTCGCTTGAACCAGTCTGAACCAGCAGCAGCCCACCTCTGGGCTGAGAAAGAGATACATCCATCCATGTAAAAGAATTCAAATATTTAAGATTGTCTGTTTTACTATCAAGGAAGTGCTGTTTTAATATTTCATCATAGTCCAGCCCACCTTGCTCCCTAGTGCTGCACCAGGATACAAATGCAAATGTTGGTTCAAGCAAAGCACAGTAAACAGAAAGAGAAAGGATTAGTCTTAATCCTTAGTTCTATCCACCCACACCCCTAGCAGAAATGCCGGTTGGGTGTAGTATATTTAATCTTGAGAAGAGAGGGCTATTCTCAGATATTTGAAGGACTGCCACATGCTTTCTCTGGTTTAAAAAGGGTTTACACCAGTAAGTCACATTAAAAGAAAAAAATGGTTGACTGTAGGCCTTAGTATGAGCTACTTCACCGTTTTACCTACTTAACATGGGTTCACTATCCTAAAAGGAAGGGGAACTCTCCTTGAATATCTAGCCCATAACCCCAGGACTTTTGGGCATGTATTTTTCTCAATCCTATTTTCTGTTAGAGGAGTTGATTTAATTAGAGATATTTAAATTGGGATTATTGTACATGAAATGTGTATGCATTTTACCAAGCTACAGATATTTTTCCCCCTTCCCTCAGCCCTTTTCCCTGCCTCTCTTGCCAGATGATAAGCATGGTGCTTTCAACGGTGGGCAGCTTCTGCTATCAGGGCAAGAATGATTCTGCTTTACCAACGTTTTATTCAGAATTCTTATTAATGCATGAAAGAGAGTCATGCCTGTGTTATACCACAGTGGTGGCGAACGTATGGCACACGTGCCAGAGGTGAAACTCAGAGCTCTCTCTATGGGCACGTGCGCCATCGTCCCAGCCCAGCTCCATTTCATTTCTCCCACGGGGGGGGGGGGAGGGGGGGGGGGAAAGAGAGAGGGGGGGGGGGGGGGGGAGGGAGAGAAAGGGAGGGAGGGGAAGAGAGAGAGAGAGGGGAAGAGAGAAGGAGGGAAAGAGAGAGGGAGGGGGAAAAGAGGGAGGGATGGAGGGAGGGAAAGGGGGGAGGGAAAAGGGGAAAGAGGGAGGGAAAGAGAAGGAGAAAGGGAGGGAAAGATGATATTGTTAAACATAATATTTCAAAAGCAGGGAAAAATGAAGGCATAAAAGTGCATTTATCACATTTTTCGAAGAACAATTAGTTGAACTCTGCGCTGCTTATCATTATTTTAGGTCGTAAATGCTCATTATTCAGGTTAAATTGCCATTATTCAGGTTAAAATCAGGTTAAGTTGGCACTTTGCGATAAATAAGTGGGTTTTGGGTTGCAATTTTGGCACTCGGTCTCTAAAAGGTTCACCATCACTGGTATACAAAGTGCATATTTCAGCTGAGCTGCTATCAGATCCAAAATCCATTGACTTTGGACTCCTGCCTGTTATGTAAAAAAAAAATCTATTAACAACACACAAGGATTCTTTCTTACTTTATTTACAAGCACCTGATACTGTTTTTAATGTTATCCTGAGGTTGGACTGGAAATCACTTAGGGAAGTTGAAAATAATGTGTGTAACTACAAAAACATTTTTTCCCATAAAGGAAGAAGGCTTAAAAAAAGTAACGTGCCTAAGAAAATAAGTATACGACTGTGATAATGCCTCAGTATTAAAACAAAAGTGCTTTTTAAAATTCAACATTTTCTACTTTTACAATATATATCCATTTTGAAGGGTACAGCCAGATGGCCGTGTGAAAGTCCAACCTGAAAGCCTTTGAGCTAGTAGAAGAGTAAATTGATTCATTTGTCAAGTTCTATTCTGTGATAGTAACAAGACCAGGAGTCAGTGTATTTTTTAGCATTTGAATCAGGGGTGGGTTCTACTTACCTTTACTACCGGTTCGCAATGGGGCCACGCACACATTCTTCTTCTTCTTCTTCTTTTTTTTTTTAAATTTGATTTATATGCCGCCCTTCTCCGAAGACTCAGGGCGGCTTACAATGTGCTCAGCAATGCGCAGAAGCATTCTGATGATGGGGTCCGTGGGCGGAGCCTCCCGCCGGTTTTACTACCAGTTCTATAGAACCGGTGTGAACCGGGGGCAACCCACCATTGAATGTGAGACAAGTTGAGGAAAGGGGGAGGGTTTATGTGGAGGAGCTAAGATGGAGACACACTCTTTATCTTCCATTAATGTGGCTGTCATCCCAAACATGCATGAATCGGCTCCATGATTTACACAATACACTAACTTTATGAAGTCATATGTCTGCAGCACCCCTTTTACTGTCCTGTCTTGGATATAGTTTCTTAACCAAAAGTGGAGGCTTACCTATACCTTCTTGGTACTTTGCCTTAACTTGAACCAGTCATTATTTTCATGTTTTTGGAAGCTGAACTTAAAATCCATTACAAGCCAGAAGTGACAACCACTCTTGTTCTGAAGAACGGAGTTTATCTCTTTATCCCTGGTTAATCAGCTACAGGGAAAGAAGGAAGTACAATGGCAATCTATTAATCCTTTACAGTGGCATGCACACAGAGATACAGTCAATAAACTCTGAGCGGAAAAGGGCGGAAAAGGGTAGGATTGTGCTGTAAAGTGTGATTCCCATCCTACCTTTTGGTGATGAAGACATTAATGATAGGTTGGGCGATGCATTTATTTTTATGTAGAGTGTGGGAGCCCTTCTGAAGTCAGGCAAGTTAATTCTGGGAACACTATCCATTTTTTCTCTCTTGTTCTGGCTCAATGCAGCAGTGCGTGTCACATCAGAAAGTTGATTTTTTTTTCATTTGTCTTCTTTAAGTTTGCCCTTTAGGATTTTATATCTATTTTAAAAAAAACCAGCTTTCATTTCAAGAGGAGATCTGCTTAACTTCTCTTTTTCTATGAGGTTCCAATTCAATGATGAAAAAAGTAAAATTCTACATTTAGGCAAGAAAAACCAAAGGCACAGGTATAGTGTACAGTAGGTGGCACCTGGCTCAATAGTAGTAACTGTGAGGCAGATTTTGGAGTCCTAATCATTTAAATATGTGCCAGCAGTGTGCTGCGGGTGCCCAAAAAGCCAATACAGTTCTAGGCTGCATTAATAGAGGGATAGAATCAAGATCACGTGAAGTGTTAATACCACTTTATAATGCCTTGGTAAGGCCACACTTGGAATACTGCATTCAGTTTTGGTCGCCACAATGTAAAAAAGATATTGAGACTCTAGAAAGAGTGTAGAGAAGAGAAACAAAGATGATTAGGGGAGTGGAGACTAAAACATATAAAGAACT